GGGGGGGGGGGGAGGTGCATCACACCCAGAGCTGCCACATGTGGGACCGAGAACGCGTAACTATCGCTGCATTCGGAAACACACACTGTGTGCACACTACTAGACGATAGCCGTTGGAGTGAGCGAAATACAAGAGTGAGATCAAAAGAGAGGGAGAGTACTCGAGTGATGTTTCCGAACGCAGCCTATAGTGCGTGCAGCGCACACAAGTGAAAAATTGTGTACGTATGGGCTGCCTGTCACGAACTATAGCGCTTGGCGCTTCGGCCAGTCTCGGGCGGTGGAAGAGTGCAGACGTACAAGCTGCCGTCTCTCTCCCGACCTATAGCTATAGCTAATACTGTAAGCGCCGAGAATCATGCCTAGGCCTTTTTATTATATCTCGACACTCGCGTGTTGCTTCTCACGTGTGCGTACTTTTACTATTTAACTAATTGTTACATTAAATGGAATGTTTTTTTACACATAAAATACACTCGTCAACAAAATTATGTGTTCAGTTTGATAACTTTCATCCCAGCATACAACGGGTGCGTCAATAATTGTTTGATACCTCGTATAATCGATTACAAAATTTTATACGCTTTTTATCGAATGAAGTTGCAGCGTTTCAAACTGTCAAAATTGAAAAAGCCTCTCTACTATGACTTAGGTATAAATATACCTAAACTTACTTCTCAAAATAATGCACTCTCTTAATTCGAAATAAATTTTTTTCTTCCAAATTTCACAGATGTCACACTCTGTAGTTTTACTTTGACTCCTGTCATAACCGATAACTGTGCATACACGTCAGTAATGGCTCTCAATTCTGACGACTTGAAGCGTTACAACTTTATTGGATGAAAAGTGTGCAAATCAGTTTACAACCGATTATACATCATTTATCAAACCACCGGTCTGTAGTCTAATTATTATTACGGTTACCGTTATTGACTCCAGCTAAAATTAGACCCACTAAATTAGCACGAAGATATTCTCGGATAGCTAGCAGGAAAATCTGCGTTCGTATGAATTATCAAAGAACGGCTAGATAATGGTGGATCGCGCACTAGTAAGGAAAGAGGTCAGTTGGCGAGAATTGCGAGGTCATCAAAACTTTGCATTATTTAGACTTTAGGATAAATTACAAGTCGCATTCTCCTACTGTCGGCCTTCGTTCGCGCCAGAACCGCGTCGCGGTATTTTCTTTTGCCTCAATAAAACGAAAGTTTGCGTAACGTTTCTCTAAAAAAATTCGCGATAGCTCGCGAGGTTTTACGTCTTGCGTAATAAGATTATCTTATCGACTAATGTTAATTCATGTACAATACGGTATACGTATTATCTAAAGAATAATCAGTGTATTTTCTTCAGTGAAATGCTAGGAAAAACGCTTGCGTGTCCAAAGCTCTGATTCTCGAAAATATATCGCGAAAAAAACAATATTCGATATATATCGATATTCGATATATATCGAATATCGATATATATCGAATATCTTTTTTTTCAAAGAATAATTTAGCAATGCATATAATTTAGTAATGCATACATAAATTTGACAACTAAATTTTCAAATAATTTTCTCTCAATATACATATATTTATTAATTGATTAATTTAGATTACTGATTGGTTGACGATTTTCGTCGGAGGAAATTTTGATTAACCAAACCCCAACATTATCTGGTAGATGTTTAAAGTATTGAGTATACGCTCTGAACATTCAAAATTATGTAAAATTATTTAGTTTTATTGAATGTGATCTTCCAGGTGTCTCGAGCAGTGCTCCAACGCGCACTAAAAGAGATTGCGCCACAGAAAATGTGCAATTACATCACCTGCGTCATAGATCTTCCGCTGGCCGTTAATTTTCTCAATTTTCTCTCTCGCGTGAGCTTGAATCGCGATTGCATTTCATTAAGTAAAGTTCGTGCTTCGTTATTAAGTAAAATTCGATATCGTGCGGTATCTGCGCAGATAATCTGCAAGAGATCGAACGTAATTATATAACTGCTTGCAAAATTAATTTTACGATTGTTTGAAAATTTACAGGTTTCAATTTTTCACTTAAAGTTAAAGTTTTCTAACGCAGGATATAATACAGACAATGCTAGCGAGCTTTGATCTCGCGAAAAACGTATACAAGTGAGCAGTTGTTTGTTTACTTACGCAGCGCGCGACAAGTTCCATCGAATGATAACAGACGTCTCACGCGGCAACATTTTTTTCATGTGAATTTTGAATAGAATCTTTATCTCTATCGTCACAATTTTCATAGTTCTTGATTTCTCATCCACGCTCGCGTTCGCAATTATTAATTTGATAGGTTTGCGAATTTCACCGGATTGTATTTACGGAAGAGTCGCGAGCGAACTTCGCGGAAATATTGCGGAGTTGTTATCCGCAAAAGCATTGCGGAATTGTCTTTGCAAAAGTATTGCGGAACTGTTATCCGCAAAAATATTGCGGTACTGTTATGCGCAAAAATATTGCGCAGCTGTATTGCAGCCTACTACGCTGCTCCATCGAAACGTTACATTAGGGATATTCCATGGCATACGTGAAAATCTCGCGCGATTAAATCGTTCACGCGTCGAAAGATTTCGCGAGATCGGCCTTCGATTCGCGTCGCGTGCTCCCTTCGCTCGCGAATTTCGTTTTCTTCGTAAGCGATACGCGTCGCGTGTGTATTAAAGAGATATACTGCAACTCGATCGGATTGTTGCTGAATTTGTCGCACATATTCGTCGTTTATCCGAGAAGCCGACATTTCCTCGAAGACGCAGTTCGCGATATTTTATACGCAATTCGCAACTTGGAGTGTATTCTTCAAGAGAAATGCGATTTTTCGTGAAACCTCCGTTAGATTACCGCGGTCAGGAGTGAATTACAGGCGACGTGGGATACGAGGACTATTGCAGTGTCAGATGCAACGACAGGATGGCTGGTGGACCCTGGACACTGTGACAACGCGCAATGGTGAGCGCTCAATTTAGACGCTCATATAGTAGACACAAAGCGTCACTTTACGTAGATTGCATGCACGTAGGTGTAAATCGCATTAGATCCGACGGGAAGTAAAGCAAGAATTGGCATTTATATTACGCCGGAGTTATGTAAGAATGATCCAACCAAAGAATTTAGCTTTGATTTTTGCAATAGTTAAACGGGTCAAGTATTTCCATTTCTTTAAGAGAACTGACTAGCTCAATCCTTAGAAAAATTTGCAAAAAGACGTGACTGGTAAAAAATAAAAAACTGTTTCTTAATTCATTTCAAGCATCTATATGGCTTGAATTTTTTTTTATTTAGTTTAAAAAGATGTAAGTGGAGTATTTATTGATAACAGTTTATAATTTTTTGAATTGGATTATTCTTGCATAACAATGGCCAATTGAAATTTCGACTCGATAAACTTTCTTCTCGTCGGATTATTTCTTGATGATACATTAAACTAATTATTATTTAATTATTATTTAATTATATTTTATTAACTAATATTCCAGCATGTCATATTTTTATGCTCTATATGTGTTATATATACTTTGTGTATATTATATCCTGCATGTTATATATACTTTGTTATATATATACTTGTTTCATGCTTTATATATGTTTTATATATACCTTATGTATATAATATCTTGTAAGTTAGGTAATGAAATAATGTCTTGTAAGTTAGGTCGGTGACGCCATATTTTGTCAAAAATCGCAAGCAGCCATGGCGGCAAATATAATATGTAAAGTATGGTATTTGGAATAGCAGGAAAATAAGTTACATGGATCAAAAAATATACTTTAATTTATTGCTTATATATTATGCATTGCCATAGTCTTGCTATTAAAATAACATTAAAATAGCGTTTCTTTCATTCTTTTGTTTTTTTACATGCTAACTTATATCTAAATACAATGTACCTTTGGTATATCTTTAATTTGTGACAATTTGGTATAAAATTGCACTATAAATTAATATACATAGTTTATTTAAAAAATGTTTATGAAAGTCGATTTCAACAGATAGCTTCGCAGAGAAATGAATTATTGCTTGGGCTCCAATCCTTTCCATATTGACTGCTCATTTTGCTCTTTGTTTTATATTACGAGGAAATACTTTCATGATTTAGCCTTTTACACTTGAATTACTACAATCTGGCGCACAAGAACCGGGCATTGTTTATTACTTTTGCTTACACACACTGCTATAGTGGTCGTACAGTCATACTGTAGCTACTAGTTTGACAAACCATGGCGACACCAATAAAAATCGGGGACGTTATTTCGAAACTCTGATTCAAGGGTCTCTAACTAAAATCAAGCTGGTGGCCGCTCTCAGGCTTCTCTCTGGTACGGATCGAGGATTGCAATCGGACTAATCAGATAATCTAACGTTTGGTTCTGCTTGATTGGTCCAATTATAATCCACACTCTTCATTTAGATCCGGATTTTAGGAGAAACTGCATGATGTTGCTGTTCGATAGCACTTTGTTGTAACCTAAAGTTGGTAGTACTGACTGATATGACGAGTGACAGTTTTAATTCTCAGTGTCCTATTTTGCGCGCAAAAACGAATCGATCCGACGTAATTTGATCGAAGATTCCCAGGTGAGAATTTTCTTGAACATTACTGCTATTTCGCCAAAGCGTTATATTCCTCAACGATCGAAAGCACGGACAAAGAATTGTCACTATTATTCGGATGAAACGTTTCATTTTTCAGACGCGGGATAGGGAAGTAATCGGAGGATTGGTCTTTTGTAGAATGTTTTATTGGCTCAGTTCTCCTGTTTTATACAAAACATCTAACAAACACAGACGCTTCCCGCCGAACTGATTTCGACCTGCTTTTTTGCGAAAGCGGCTAATCTATCGATTTCGCGTCTACTGCACTCGAATCTTTGCAAGTTCCCGAAGGGCACTCTACGGTACAACGGTACGCGATTATCGACTTGCTCAACGGTGCTCAATGTGGATGCATCTAATTGTAAGTACTAACGCTAATAATATCGATAAATGTAATAAAATTTCTGTTGCGTGTGTATGTGTTTGTTCATATGTATGTAATGTGTGCGTATATACGTGTGTATGTGTACTTAATAACTTTGCGCTAAAGTTCAGCCGCGGACGGGGACATGAGGCTAGGCCATGAGAACCGATTTTACAATCTCTGCGTAACTTTTCGCTATATACAAAAATGGCCTCTAAATTCCTTTTATTCACTTTTTGGACGAAGAGCATCGTATATGTATGTGTGTGTATGTATGTGTAAGTGTAGTATTGTGTTAGTGCACTCTAATCGACTCTCTATCTCTTCGTCGACGGAACGTGTCGCGTGGCAAACTTGTTATCACGTATATAACGGTGCGGCTTCCGCGTGTCGTCGTCTCCCCTCCGCGAAGGGGGGAACGATCTCCAACAGGGACACGAGGCGATTTTTCTGGAGGCGGTGGTCTCGACAACGATGTTACACCTCGTGTGAGAGGATCTATTTAGCAAAAATTCGTTAAACCATTAACACCTAGAATTTTATAATATTAATTAACAACTTATTACCGCAGCAACAACAACAAAGTCCCTCCTCCTCTCCTATGTTCTCTTCGTTGAATTTTCCGCGCCGATGTTTCCTGTCCCAGCGCGAGCGGTCTAACGACACTTCACAAGCTCCTCGACAGTCTCCCCGGCAAGATTTCGCGATTAACGGGCGCTCTCGATATTTTTTTATTTTTTCTATTTTTCTTTATTTCTCTTTTCCCCACAACGATCGGATCGTCGCGTCGTCCGAGTCCCATATAGTAATACGCGCGCTTGTGTGCGCGCGTTTCAGATCCAACCGGGAGTAATTTAATGTTTTCGGCGTACAGTTACAATTACTGACGGCGCGAGCGGGATAATTACGGCTCGATTATCTAAGATGTGATCGCGAGCAAGTGACCTATGCACTAGGAAAGTATGCCACTTAGTGCAGGGGCATCGAATAAAAGCGAAATTATAATCGTCGCGATTAGCGCGAAATGTGTACGTTCGGTTCGGAACATCGCGTCAAACATGCTGCACTTTGGAAAAAATTTATAATATGACAGTTTCGCCAATTTTTCGGAGCGGCTTTAATCGCTACGTGATGTACTCCGTGGATTATTCTCCTTTCGAGTCGACAGTCGTTCAGAGCTTTCATCCTCGATCAGTGTTACTTCAAAAACAGCACAAATCGCGTCCCGTAGTTTCTTCAGATCGTTAAGTCGTGGAAATTATTATCTTCGTTACTCGCGCGCGGATTCTTCGGAAGTATTCCGTTCCCGCTGCGTTCCTGAACCGAACTGTACCACCGAGAGGGGATGATCGCCAAGGGCGCTCTAAGGGGCAAAACGACGTCGGGAACAGTATCTACGGAATGTTGCTTAAGGCCTATATTAATAGTCATTACTTAAAACTCGTTCCAAATGAGATACTCGGATCTAAATTCAGAGTTAGATAAGTGTTTTTCAATTGAATCATGACTACAGATATAAACGTCACATTTATCATAACGCAATTGAAAACTTAGATCTGACTCTGGATAAAAATTCGAATATTTTACCTGAGGCAAGTTTTTCAAGTAACGCCTATTAATACGGCCCTACTATTAAGACATTCTTCCGTCAATTCGTAACGACTCGTCAAAGTTATGCGCCTTCTCTCTCGTCCGTTCGCGTGCTCTCGGTTGCTCGCGATACTCAAACGATAATCATTCGCGCCGATATCGCGTGCGACACACGACGGTCTACGTAGCGAGAAAAACCAAAAATGCGAGAGAAAGAGAGAGAGAGACAAGTTGCCAATCAAGCGGCTAATGATTCATCCGGCGAATTTCCATGGCGGCGATGTCGTCCACGGAGATAAGCTTTTCTATGGGTATGCATGAGAGCTCGCCGCCAACGCAAGACTGCGGTTGTTGCCACCTGGCCTCTCTCTCTGCCTCCTTGGCCTTCAGCTCGGCCTCCCGAGCACGACGTTCCTTCAACTTCAGCGAGAAGATCGCGACCGAGCGCGCCCGCTTCATCAGGCTCTGCTTGACGCGCGTCTTCTTCGCTTCGCGCTCCTCCTTCGTCGGTTTCTCCTCCTCTTGGCTAGAGATCGTCTTGCTGGAGTCCGACAGACCGCTCGAATCCTTTTCCTTCTCTTTCTCCTTCTCGGCAAGGTAGGACTGCTGCCGCTCACGATGCTCGTGCATCTCCCGTTGATGATAGTGATGATGATATTGCTGTTGTTGTTGCTGCTGCTGCTGCTGTTGTTGTTGCTGCTGTTGCTGCTGTTTCTCCGCCACCTTCTCGCGCTCCTTCTCCTTTTCCGGTGAGAAGCGGAACTTTTGGCTTCTGTGAGCCACCGACCACGGCGGTGCCGACCTTCGAACACAAAACTAACGATTAATACGGAAATACACACTGAGAAAACAATACTTAGGAATTTTTTTGGTGGGATATAAAGTCTATTCCTAGAAATAAATTTTATTTCATAGAAATGAATTTTATTTCTCACAAATGTTGACTTTCAAGTATTTCTTCTCAGTATAAGAGTAAGTAAAAACGCGAGGAGGGATTCGTTCTTCTTCTTTATCCTTATAACATCGTTAGACTTAAGGGAGAAAGATTGAATGAAGAGATTCTCTTTCTCCTACCTAAGAAGATCGCTGTCTGAAGAAGAGGCGAGTTCTTTGGACACGATACAGTCAGTAGACCTGTGCAATGTCAATTCTTCTTCCCTGCCGCTCATGTTACTGGCACCGCTGATCTCGGAATCGCTAGATTTTCGCCCACCGGGCTCCAAACCTAATCGACGTACCCAGTCGACTCCACCATGTGGCCCGATAGTTAGATGATGGCTGTACTGATCAGTTGCGCCGGATGTTTCTGGTTCATTGCTCAACCACTCCCTCGAGCGTCTTCCTACTGGAAAAATATCTCATCAGTGCGAAGCAATTGTTTGTCCAATCGTTTAATTCTTCCTGCGATAACCATAAAGCCCGTGTCACACTACGGATTGGATTGGATTGGATTGGATAGAGGATTGCGGATTGAAGATTGGAACTTGACCAATTGGAGCCAAGCAGGCAAGGAGCCAAGACCAAAGTGCATTGATTCGTCAAAATCTAATCTTCAATCTGCAATCTTCTATTTCCAATCCGTAGTGTGACACGGGCTTTATGAATTTTTAACGAGCTTTTTGTAAGGCAAAAGTTATGTAAATCATTCTATAGTAATTTCTTCTTAGAAAATCGAGGTGGCTCTAATTGACCATTTGTGAAAAATACGCGTTTGTTATTTCAGCTTGGAATGCAATACATTCAAAGCGCGTTAGAATCACTTCTCTTATTGTGGGTTTCCTTGAAAGCAGAGATAGTTGCCGATTCGGATTAGAAGGAAAACGAAATCGAACCTCGTTCACCTCCGGGTATGGAGCATCTCGGGGAGTTACGGATATCCCTGGTGGTCACGTTGGAATTGTTCTCGGGTAGGAACGGACTGGTTTCGCTGCTGCTTCCACCGCTACCTCCGGGCGTCTCGGCCGTCGGTGGTGTTTCCGCGATTCTCGGCACCGACGCGGCGCTGGGTGTTGTCGGGCCGCTGGGCGTGTGGGTGGTTGAAGCCAAGATCGGGGTGTCCGCTTGACTTGACGTGGTCGCGTAGCCGGTGCGTTCCGCGAGCAAATGCTGCTCTTCGCTCTCTCCGTCTGCTGGACTCACCACGAATCTCCCTGAGTTCGAGCGAAATTAATAGCTGGTAGGAGGTAGGACGTAATCGGCGGGTTAAGTAAAGTGATTAAAGACCATTGCGCGTGGATCGTCCTATAGACGGTGAATCTTCGTATTCATTTGGGGTCATAGGACAGCGAAAAGAGAAGGAAAACGGAGGGGAAAGGGAAAGAGAATCGATATAAAAAAATTCTAGAATATATTTGAATCATTAAATTTTAAATTGAATTATTAAAATTCTAGAATATATTAAATTATTAAATTTCAACTGAGAGAAAACATCCAAAAAATAAAAAATATTTGTATTCGGCGGGTACTACATATAATGTGTATGTGTTGACATATTTCCTTATACTCTCTCTAAATAGAATATTTTTCAAATAAGAAAATATACATTTTCTTAAAATCTTGGCGTTTTATGAAAGAGACTGTTTTTTCTATTTAAGTAAAAGAATTTAGATTCAAAAGTGAATACATTATTTGTACCCGTCGAATATTTTTTTTTTTTATTTTCTAGGCATTTCTCCTCTCACAGTCTCTATGCGAACAGAGTTCGCAAGTAGAATATCAATTTAAAGTTTAACTCAAGTGTTTCTCATCAAGTTCTCACTGAAGGAAGATCAGACGTTAGATTTCTTACTCGCTATATAACAGTAGATTATTCGTTGTCGGAAGACTATTTAATGATATCAAGAATACTATAAGGATAAATAATATACCTATTACTGTTGCGGGCTGTTGCTCCGGTGATGGCGTCGAGGACAACCTTCGGACCGCTTCGCGTCTTAAGAACTCCACTTTAGCCATCTCGGTCGCGACCCAGTGAGGTATGTCGGGAATCGCGCAGATAATAACAAATCGGATAGCGAGCATTATATGCTCCAATGCCACAATCAGTAAGATCGTTTGCGTGGCCGACATCTCCGGGAACATTCGTTGCACCTGGCCGCTCAGTCCGATCAGAGCGCAATTCACTAAAATCGCGACCAGCCCCATCGTCTCCATAGCATTCTATCGAAGAATGAAAAGTTGGATTTCGTTCGCAAGTCTCTTACTGTGCCGAAGAGCGAATTAATCTTTCCACTTACTTGCCAAGTCCCGATATTCGAGACTCTTCGCCCGAAAGGTCGTTGAAGCACGAAACACAGTTTGAACGCATCGCCGCGTAATTCAAGCAAATTCCCAAGCAAAGCTGCCATCGCGGCTAATGGAAACGCCGATGAAAAGAGGCAAACGTATCCCAGTTGTGATAGCATTTCCAAGTGCTCCGAAAACGCTCCGTCATACTGCGAATAAAAAATTACTCGTTTAGTTTATCCGATACGCAAATAATGGAGAATTTTTTCATTCACACTTTCGGAAGCAAATTTATTTTTTTTTTGTAATTTAGACTCGCGCTTTATTTCTTGTTTTATTTAATACTCGTCAAGTATACCAATCGCAATCTATAACAATTATATTTACTAGAGATATACCAACCTAATAACAGTTGTAGCAAACTATAGAAGTATCGACTTAATATTATTAATATTAACTATATAATGAGAACGTGTCGGACTATAACACGATGCGAACATAATATTGTCTATATGTGTCCAGTGCTTGTCGTGTGTCGTTGGATGATCGACATGATACGTATCGTATCGTATATTGTGGGTATAGACTATGCCAAACATTTAGAAAATTAAAAACTGTAGCGAAACATAGATCGATAAATCGCGCATGATAAGCCATGAGATTTACATACCGTTCCTTTCGGTCACTTCGTTTGCTGTGCTCACACACATCGTTCTTTCGCGTATAAGAATTTACGAGAGATCTAAAATATATTCTTTCCCGTAATAATCGATCGTTATTTATAGTTCAAATCGATTTGACAAAATTGCATTTCTTTTTCATCGAAAATACGTGACGTTAATATCTCTGCCTCTCTACTGTTATATCATATCTTCGCTTGGATATCAGTATTCGTGTGAAGCATACCGTAATTCATGACGGAGAGGATCGATATTTAACGATAGGATGAGTATAACGTTACCTTTTTGGTCGATACCTGCGCATCGTCAATGGGATCGGTGTAAAACGGGAAAAAATGATTAAAATTCTGCAAAAAGAAACGACGAAGAAACACAATACGACATTAACATTAATTCGGCTAAGCCGTCGTGCTGATAGAACGCAGTCGAACATAAAAGAACACCTGAGAGGCAAGACACAAAACGAAAGAGTGAAATGTGTGGAGCAAAGCGTCCAATCTACTCGCAAAGTCAATTCGCGTAAATATTCGGTCTCAATATAAGGGGGAGGAAGGTAGGGAGTGAAGGCTCAAAGGGGATGAACTTATCGATGATTCGGCTCGACGTAAGTATCTTTAAACGCGTGTATTTACATGTTGCGTTCAGTTGCAAATGCTTTGAAGTACGCGCCCGTGTGCATGTAATGTGTATTTGAGCGGTAGTGAATGTGCTCTTGAAGAGAACGAAAAGAAACAATTGGCTAAATCTAGACCGAACCTTGAACGCAACGTCACTAAGTAGAGAATTAGTGGGATGCCCTACTCTGTAGAGGGAACTCTCCAGTTCTGCTTGGCTGACGTTTCGTTGCTTCGACTTGCCGCTGTCGGTGGACCGTTCCTCCTTCTCTTCGTTGTCCTTCTCGCGTTGCGCCTCTTCGCTTTCTTGGCCGGGTGCCGGTCTCGCCTCACTGGGACTCAGGGCCCCGAATAGCTCAAAGCTCAACCGCGCCAGACGCAATTGCTCGATCAAGTACGGCACTGCGGACTCCTTCAGGTTACCGATCACTTGGCGAGCTATGAGCAAAGCCGCCAATTGCTGAAACGAGAAAGTGTAGACAGGCGTAGATTACGCTGATGCATCTGATTTTTCTTTCACGATTTTTGGACTCTTTGCGCTCGCTGCGTGAAGTTATTAATTTTCTCTCTTAGTTGTGCGGCGTTTCGTGGCGTAGCAAATTACGAATCGAGCCAACTTCTTTTCATCTGTTTCACAATTTATTTTAACATTGTCAGCTTTTAAAAATTAAAATCTCACCTCCTTGAGCCTCTCTTGATCTTGGAGATAAAAGGCGATGTAAAACAGCGATAGGAAGGAGTTTACAAACTGAAACTGAAATATAGGGTGGCCTTTGTAAATTATATCTGTAGATCGTAGATCGCGTTAACATACAAAGTAAAGTACCGAATGCACGTAAAAGCGTAAACATGAAGGCCTACTGACACATGAAATCTTTAAGCGAAAAGTGTTTTCCTCGCGAATAGAATGTTCATGCAGCGACAGAGACAGCCAGAGCAAGCAGTTTCACGTTTAAACAAAGAACGCAAAATCTATTTTGTCTTTTCCAAGCGTCCGCCTCTAAATATATAAGTGGCTCTCTTCAAATTGCGAATTCACGGCGAATTCAAACGTTGCTAACAGGTCATATTTTTTAAAATCGACCTGTGTGTTGCAGAGGCGCCGTTTTTACGCTTTTTACACTTTTACAGTAAAGAGATTTGTATAATCACCGCTCTCGCGGAGACTTCGATCCTTTATTTATTGTCAATTAGAGGAGGACGTGTGTATAACGTATAACACAACACTGATACTCTATTCGTTGAAAATGGAGGTTTCTCATTACCAGCGCCACCTTGTAGATCAGATGATTCTCGTACTCGGTGTCTAGTCGATAGTTTTCTGCGTCCAACACACAAAAATCACAAATACTATCTACCGCACCATAAATGCTCACCGAGATGTAAATGAAGATAAAAACGGTATCTATGGTATCTCACGGGTTTCGTCACACAAAAAACAGAACAACATTCGCTTAGTAAGGAAAAAGTCCCTTACGTAGAAAATATAACGTTCTCCTTACGTAGTCCTTCAGTTAGTATCTAGAAGAAGCTAAGCCGTGGGAAAAGTTATCGAAAGTATATGCTAGGCTCTCGAACTAGACGTGCATAGTGTACCGTGAAATACACAAACCGATGCGAACAAATCGGCAAATGGCGAGTCGTTTGTATTTTGAATCGCACAAAGATGATCTTGTTGAGAGAGACAGATAGATAGACAGACAGATGAGGGAGAGCCGGAGGATAGATAGAGAGAGAGAGAGAGAGAGGTAGAAGGAAAGGGAGAGAGCGCGAGAGAGACAGAGAGAGACAGAGAGGATGGCAATATTAAAACACAGGAGATCAAATTCTTCTTTTTTATCCAGATACATACCCAAGTCGTTCAACCACACCGCGACTTTGAAATACGCCTCATCCATCAACGCGATCACCACCGCGAGTAACACCTTTGGCATGTAACTAAGCCAGAATCCGTAACCTCCAGATTCAAGATGTGCGTCCCACCAATCCTAGAATCGATTTGCACAGATTAATTTACTGGCACGAATCTTGTACCGTACGTCCAGCTTCTAAAGAAGAGAAGAATTTTTCACGGAGTCGCAATGTGAACCGTATAATTGCCGCTTGAATCGAAGTTTAGGCTTCGAATCGAAACGATTGTAGAGTATTTTTTGAATATACATCGACTATACGGTGCAATTTGCGAATCGATCTTGCAGGATTTTTTCGTACCTGTATTTGGAAGCTTAGAATCATAACGATGAAAACGAAGAGTAAACAGATCGCGATGATAGGCACGCTGACGAAATATCGAAACATATTTCTCCGCCACCTGGGATAAGTCGGTTCCAGTCTACCCGTCACCGGTGAGATCTCTAGAGTTCCCTGAACACAGTAGGACCGTGATCGTGTGAATCGCGCTTCGGACGGTTCCGATACGAGTGGATTCCCGTTTGTTGAAAGCCCATCGCGTAATACGCCATATCCTCGATTGTTACGGCGATATGTAGCAAAAGCATAACTGTACTCATCATATTGTAGTAGTAGCACACGCACTACTATACACCATGCCAATGTCGAAGTGCTAAGGCGTAAAAAGTGTCGGAAAGGTTCTTACTGTAAAGAGAGGTCTAGGCTCGACCAATAAATCGTCCCTCTGATCCAAAGTGCCCCACCTGTACGCCAATTCCGCGCCTCTTCTTTTCCACGTCTCCAAGTATACCGTAGCCCAAATTACGTTGAACACCGAGAACAAGACATACGCCACGTCCTCCACCGCTTGGTTCCTGCCGATGATGCCGACCTGGATGTCGATTCGATTGTTGTTTAAATTTTTTCTCTATCTCTAATACGAGATTACTCCGCCGGCTAATAAACAGTTTATTCTATGTCGGAGCTTGTTTCGTTTCTCTTTTCTTTTTTCGTTTTCTTTTATTTTGGCTGTTAAATCATTCCTGTATCATTGTTTCATTTCGAGAAAAGATCTTTAGATTCTTCAAATGTCCCGCTTATGAACGAATACGCGCGTACATACCCAGTATATGACACCCACTGCAGCTGGAACGATCAAAGCGGTGGTGTAGTGGCCGAGCCAGGCAAAATACATGGTGATCTTCACCCCGAAGTATTTACAAATGTCGTCCAAGGGCTGAGGGCTGAGGAACGCGCGGACCCAGTTTCGTTGCAGTTTTTCTAGCGCGGGTAATTCGTGTAGAGGGAAGACCTGACGAAAGCGCGATCGATCGCGTCACGAATCCTCTTCTACGACGAGAAAAGCCTCGAACGGCCATAGACTTAGCCGTAATTTTAACGATAAACTTTTTAAACAAGTTCAAGTCGATTTTCTTGACAAAGTAAAACTTCAAGTAAAACCTCAAGTAAAACTTGAAGTCGAAGTTGAGTTCATTTGAGAATTACCGAGAAAAATATCCCGAAGCATACTCGCTGATCTATTAGTTGCTTTGTTAATTGAAAATTGCAAAGCTCTTTGAGAATTATACTGAGGTTGAAAGTTTATCCGTTAACCATCCATCGTTAAAATTACGATCGATCAAGGCAAGTAGCGCGGCCACTATATATATCGCACCTGAGAAATGATACCGGACGAAATGCACTTTGGAACAATCGCTTGACCTTCCACCAACTTAAAACCCGGTAGATTTTGTAGATCGTGCGGACCGGCCCTCAGCGTGTGAAGTAAATGTAGTACCAGGGATTGCCTCTCTTGCGTGGTGAAAAATCGGATTTCGTCGTCGCTGCCCTCGAAACAGTTAGCCTCGGACCCCACGAATTCCTTCAGTCCACCACCAAATTCCTGCCGTAATGCCTTAGGTAGATGCACCTCCTCCGCAGCTTTCAGTAGACTGCAAGCCCAAACGGGGTCAGAGTAACTATTCGACCTTTGATTTTACGTGATAAAAGTTCCCACGACCGCACGAACCTCAGAATAAATTAAGCCATAATGTAATATAATAACGGCTTATTATGCTCCCTAAGATAATATTCTATCAGAGTAAGATGCAGGTACAAGTAAAAAAATGCGAACAATCGTCGCGCGGAAATACAAACAGAAGTAAATTTAAGCCTAATCTACAATGTACTCTTTACTTCCTGTCTCTTGTTCTCTATCTTTTTCTAGTTTGAGATTTAAGTCAGAAAGAGATAAAAAGAGAATAAAGCAAGATGCAAAGAACACATTATAGATTAAGTTTTAAAATCGGAGGGGTAGGAAGAAACAAGCATGAAACAAAAATAAAACAAGAAAGGACAGCATGACATATTAGGAAAACTTTAGCAGAAAAATAAGAAACAAAAAGACAGAAGACAGAAGCCAATCAGAATTCGCGCCAGTAGAAAAGCAGAAACTGTGATACTTACTACCTAATCACTCACTAGCGTGAGTTCTGATTTGCTTTTCTGCCAAAGTATGAATTTTAATGCGGAGAATCGAACACTTACACGCTAAACGGCGCCGTAATGTAAAACCCGTAACTGTCCGACGATGTGTGATGTCGCACGTGAACTGTTAGCCCCGGGGTTCCAGCCCGAAGCCGTCCTAAAAGCCACATCAGGGTTTCGTCGCTCGCTCCGCTGGGAAACATCATAACTACGTCGCATTCCTGGGGGAAGCCGCGAATTATTAGACATCCCGGTGCGCGCTTCACGCAGCGGAAAGTATACGCGATAAATTGCAAAGCTCTTTGAGAATTATACTGAGGTTGAAAGTTTATCCGTTAACCATCCATCGTTAAAATTACGATCGATCAAGGCAAGTAGCGCGGCCACCATATATATCGCACCTGAGAAATGATACCGGACGAAATGCACTTTGGAACAATCGCTTGACCTTCCACCAACTTAAAACCCGGTAGATTTTGTAGATCGCGTAATTTATTTAACACATTTTGACTTATTTTGCTAGCCGCCTATGTTCGCTTGGGAAATGACGATCTTACATTCCGTCTCGTGAAACGCTGATAACATCGAGCACTTGGCCACGTGCCCAAGTAGCTACGCGCGCCGCTAGGTCAGCTAGGTATCATTTGTATTATCGCGAAATCGTTGCACATATATTTTCTTTTTCTTGGCAATGTCAAACTTTATACCGAACTGTTGGGATACCAGCCAATCAACGCTGATTAAAACGCTAGCATAGTGTCAAAACACTGTCGATCGAGGTGGAAAAAAGTAGTTGCAAATGCAATGATAAGGTGACGACTACAGTCAGTCAGGAAATAATTGCTAACATTTAGTTAGGCATAATATTAACGAGTTTATTAGCGAGTTTATTCGCAAAACATCCCCGGAATGTGCACTTTTCTCCACTCGCATCCTTCGCATGTAGTTTAATGCAAATTAGGAGACGAATATTAGTATGAAAATGATGAGCCTGCGTGTCGTGCGTAATATGTGAATTCCTCGGATGATATAGCATATGGCACCTGTTGCATTTGCATAGTTTTCTCTCTAGAAGTTGACAGATAATAACTCTTATATATATATATCTTTTTTTTTTTTACGACTTGATTTTGTATGTAAAATCGTCACTTTCCCGATTGGGAACCGTGAAGAACTATCAATCGTGAGGCACAAAGAGATATATACCTGAGTAGGAACCTTTTGTATCCATAGGCGGCGGGGGGTCATTAAGTGGCCTGTACATGGTATTTTTCGTCTTAATAGACGGGATGCTGTAAAGAAAACATATGCACATGTCCAATTATTGTTATAACATGCTACATAGATACCCGTTACGTTATTGCTTACAATAGATTCATTTTTTTATGTCATACACTCGATTCGAAATAATGATTCTATCTTAATTTTGCGAATTTCGTCGAATTTAAAGAACCAACGAAAAGTTTCGAGGTATAATAGTTTTTTGATATTATAAACAGAGCCCCCCCCTATTTTCTCTAATGTTAAGATTTAAAAAAGCATTTGTTTGCAAATCATTTGATATTTCATTATCTCGATATATTCTATATACGTTTTATTTATACTTCGATACGCAGTGAAATAATTCTACAACTTACTCAACAGATAGAGTATGCGCAATAGGCGCAGATATTAAATAATTAAACCAAGAATTAAATATAGAGAACGAACGATAGGATTAAGGCAACAAAAACTTTCTTTCTTCATAATCCGTTTTATCATACTTTTTTATTAATGACGAAAACTTCGATAAAAATTAGCGATTAAATAACTCTTTAAATAGAAGCGCGGAAGGTTAGTCAATTTAAAATCGGATTTACAAAGAATGAATAAGTTTTTGAGAGTGTGTTGAGTGTTGTAGTTTCTCAACCACCGAGTATAGGCTGTGTTCCGAAATTCACTGCCAGTCCTGAAAATCTATGGTTCATGTTACGTATACTATAGAATTTCAGTACTGGCAGTAAATTTCGGAACATAGAGACGTTATTCATTCGTAACAATAGCGATGTTGACGTTTGGCAGCAGGTGACTGCCCTTTTTGCCGGTTGTTTTGGTACTCTCGTACGTCACGAGCGTCTGTAGAACCGAGTCATTGTATCTCGAGTCGGCGAGCGACGTACACATCGCGACGCGTATTACATGTATCGGCGCGTTGTTTACACATACCGTCGGGGGGGGAGGGGAGTAAAATATTTCGTCGACTCGTGAAATATTTAATCAGCGTCGCGTTCATTCACGCTGGCATTTCCGACTGAATTGTGCCTACGCGAGTGTTAGTGCCACAACAGTGCAGCCGGGAATCAGAATGCCGAATCGGGAAGCAAGGACGAGAGACATAGCGCATCGAGAGATGAATAAGGATCTAGCATATATCTTCAGGTATGTCACATTATTTATTACGCGAATGTTTAACGAATTCGCCGGGAATAAAGAGATGCCTGAGTCAAAATTTTAACCGGTATTCGTAGTATATCGTCATTATTCGATAAGTAATTATTTCTACTATTAATTAGTATAATTACAGAACTATTAATTAGCCTTATGAATGCCCAATTATATTTCTTAGCTTGTACTTCTTTCATGCTAGAAAAATCGCTTCAAACAACTAAACGGTCTGGAAATTTAAATCGGAAGTTAATCATGCATTCCATCAAAGATCGTAAATGATTTATAACTACGAATACTAGTCTTGAAATCTGATCTCATAAATTTGTCTCGTGCGTCTAATAATACTTCTTAAACCGCGAATCTCATCTTATCGATATTTGTCAACGTCTTCCTTTTTGTTTCTGTTTATTATTGTCGTTGGGTCGAATCCATATCTATGTACAAACAAAGAAATTAAAAGAACACGAGACTTTTTAAAAGTATTTGAGCTTTCTGAAAGGAATAGAATTTGACACTTAGAATCTCGCAAGTACTGATCTGTGCATCTAATAATTCTCTTTAGCTCAAAGTATTGCATTTGCAGGTATTGAACTTACGCCTTCTTTTCACTTTTATTTTATCTTGTTATATCCTATATAATAATAATATCTATATACGATATAACAAGTATAGTAAACATCTGTTGATACACAGTATTACTGAACACACAGTGATTTTTTCTACAAACTGTTTCTTCGTTTTTATCATGCATTTTTTAATCCAAGTTCTATTGAAATTTTCAACACCAAAGAAAAAATGTAAAAAAAATGTATTCATCCGTTATTTTATATAATTATTTACATGTATTAATTATTTAATATTCACGCATATATCGTGCGTATTCTATCTCTGCTAAGTTTAATTAACACACTTATATTCAAAATATAAGAACTTCTTAAAGTTCTTATATTCAAAATATAAGAACAAATATTAGGTAAGACGATAACTTGTGTAGCATCTCGAGATTCTCTCTATTGATTTTTTAAATTTGACGTAATTCGTAAGATTAATGCAAAATTTCGACACAAATGGATATTCGAAGAAAAGAGTCCTATCCTCTTGAAAGTAGATATCTATGAGCCTCTGTAGCTTTGTGCTTCATTCCAGCACACGTAATGTTATTAGAATATTTATTAAGAAACAAAATTGATAAAGTCAGATTAGGTCAAGTTAGGTCAAGTTAGGTTTTATGGAGAATTCGTTCTTTCTTTTTGCCTACGCATTCATAGTTTTTATTATCAAAAAATTACGTATCTTTTTTTTATTCAATATCAATAATTCATAATTTTTTTTATTCAATAATTTGTTAACAACTCTCTTTAACGATGAACATTGCTTAAAGATTTTTGAACGTTACTCGTAGCCATGACTGTCAAAATTAAACTTACTGAGACGTGCTTCCATTTTCTCTCAACAGTTCATTCTTAAGTTTGGCTCGTGAGCGCGTCACAGTTTTAAAAATCGATTTTCGAATTGCTCTGTCTTCGCTCTGTCATTGGTTGCACCACGACCTCATTATCGAAAGAATAAATTTATGCATGATGCAACGTTAAACGGGGCGATTGCTTAAAATAGCCGTCTCTTCTTCGATAAAATGTGTTGAAAATTTTACAAATCTGCCGTTATATACGACAGTAAGAGAGACCCTGTACGTATTTTTAATGAACAAAGAGGATATCGATTTCTTTTCTTCGTGTCGGTTATCTGAGAACTATATCGCGACTATGCAAATTTTGTTTCTTTTTTTTTCATGAACTTCACGCGTTTTCTCTTTTATTTCTTTCTACGAAACATATGTAGGAACCGCGTAAAACAGCCGTTAACTGTGAAAGATCCATCATAACATAATTCGAACATTTACATGCGAATAATGTCCCATCGATTTAAGCTGGATATCTTCGACGTCGTTTAATCGTGAAGTTTGATTGTCTCCCTGTCTGTTTTCAGAGAGAGGGAGACGAGGGAACAATTAAACTATGCTTAAAGTTAATCGACGACGTAGGGTTGGCTCTTGATCGGCTTCTCCAAAATTATTCCATTTATAAAGCAGAAACTAAATGATAAATTATGCCGGTGCTCAAATGGCACGGCTATTAATCTCACACACACACACACATATGAGAAAACGTGTAATGACTAAAAATTTCTCAAACAAGATAAAGTGCGCGCCATTATTCCGATAGAATCTAAAAATATCCAGCCTGAGTGAACGTGGGTATCCATTTAGCGTCCGACGTTTCAAGTCCGAAAGAAGCGTTAGTAAAAAAGAAAAAGGAAAACACTTCCTTCCTCTTTGGGCGAAAAGAATTTAGCATCAGAGAGAAGAGTCGATAAATTTGGATTGTAATTCTTTGATTATCGATCGGATATACAACGTCTTGCGCACGCGGCACCAATTCGATGATCAACGCGTCGCGAGAAAGTCACACCTTCGACGTGCTATTTGGGGAAAACGCTGTTCAATGTTGCAGCATGCACAAGTTTATTCTCTCGATAATGGGGTCATGGTTCAATCTGTGAACAAACAAAGGTAATTCGAAAGTCGATCTTTTAAACGTTTACGATCTGGAGTGCAAACACATGTCACGATTAAACCGTCTCGGAACCGTCCCCGAATGCCCTTCGGATGAAGCGTCGTAGTTGAAATGCTACCGCGCCGCATCTCATTTTCGGGGATGAGCAAGAAGGGAGCGGGAATCTCTCTTACGTCACAACTACGTATATATACATGCACACACATAGATATGCGCGACTGCCGAATAAGGTGTGCTAAGAGTATGCATACTATCTACATCTCGCGCGGTGCAAAACACGTAAATTACAGACACGATCGTTATAAATGAGAGGATCGCGCGCTTCCCTCGCGGAAGTCGCAAGCACTCGCTTCGACGCGATCCTTGCAACGCACGGTGAAGGGATGATACATTTTCTTACGTGATGATTGTGATATTTATAAGACAGTTATATACGTGTCTAAAAATACAGATTATCGGCATACACACACATACACACACATACAAGGCGGGGGAGATGTTAGATTCTTCGCACTTATCCTCCAGTCGACAGTTGACTTAATGGACTTTCAGCCGGAACAGACTTCGTCCGAAATAAGAGAGTGTAAAATCGATCGGATTTAAATCGGTGTTTGGCTGTACGTTGAAATGTAACGATACAAATAATTTCACGAATTTTTCTCTGCGTTTTCGCACGTGTACGCCGCTATTCGGCGTAATTTGCAAGAACGACGTAATTGAGAGAACGTAAGAGAACGTAAGTGTTTGTTATAGTGAGAGAAAAAAGAGAGTGTTGGAAAATTTATTTGTAGGATACAGAGTTTATTTCCGTGAAACAAAATGTACTTTCGTAAAATCAAGTTTTATATCTGTGAAATGAACTTTTATCCTACACACATATAAATTCTCAGGTATTTCCTTCTCAGTATAAAATTCACACGAAAATCGCGACGATGTCGTTGATTTTCCGTGTCTTTCAGTGTTGATTTGAGTCGCCAACGCTAATAGTAAGCTCAACACAGACACGGATAATGCACGGTGCACCGCGTCTCTGCTCGACTCGATGCGCAATTGCGATGTGACACAAAACAGGTCGAGTAGCCGTATCTGAGCAGCGCAATTGGGACCGATGTTAACCCCGAGCGTTTCTCGTCGCTTTATGTACCTTCGACGAGCTGCGCTCTTCAAGAGCACCAGAAGCTGCTCTCGAGTTTCTTTTCTATGCTCGCACTCACCATAGTTGTTCCCTTTTCCTGTTTACGACATTTGACAACACGAATGACGTCATAAAGTGTGTGAATCGCGATTTAATTAATGATGAATTGAGGCACCAAATGGGACTTTCAATCCACTGAAAAAAAATGACGAGTTAATGAGAACTGACGTGTACAGGTTGAACGTTGCCAGTGGGATTTCTCTTTAATTACTGCCTCTCCAAGAATATTGCGGAAGCGTTATTGTAACAGTGTAAAGCTTCTGCAATATTGAAGGTGATAATTAAACAGAATTAAACACGCCAGCGTCATCTCTTATCGACCAGTTATTTTTTCTCCTATTAATTTAATTAAAAGACAAGAATACTGTGAGTGACTATTAATAGGTGCTTTAATGTAACATAAATAGCCATTTAAAGTACTTGCGTCCTCTTAAGTAGGTCGCTACGTAGTAAGCACGAGTGTTCAATCCTACATGCAGTTGTACGCGATATTCGCGTTATCTTATGTAATTATCGCACAATTGTCGCACACAGATCCGAGCTCTTTAAAGAAACGCGCGGATTGAAAACAACATGTTTACACATATCTCTCATATTTTATCGGAGCTGTATAGAATATCGACATCGAATATCGAGGCACTTGTAAATTATTTATTGATACATGCAGAATATTCGCGTGCACCAGCGGGTAGAGAATGTTTTCGTTCCACCGCATCGATAAACTTTACACATACTGCATCCGTGGCATCAGGCGAGCTTGGCTCGGAATTGTTTTCCACGAAGTTAAGCGAACTTAAGGTACTATTTTTCCGGCCAGAAACGGATTAAATTGTCGTGTCTCCTTCGCGAAGGTATTCATCACTCGCTATTTGTAATTTTTTCTGGACTGAGCTATCACAAGTCGCATGAATTCGCAATAGCTCTGCGTTTACATATTATTTATGAGTTTCAACATATTCGTAGAGAAGGAAAGAGAGGAAAGGAGGGAGGGAGGGAGATAGATAGATAGATAGATAGATAGATAGGTAGATAGATGGATGGATAGAGAGCGATATGTCAGCACGGGACAGCTCCTGCATCCCGAATGCATCCGCGATAACGTTCATAAATGGAAAGCACGAAAATAACCACTCGACTGAATCGAATCGGTATTTGCGTGCAGTCGCGATCAGCAGTGACGCGCTTACGAGGAGCACGCGGACAAAGACAGCGCGTACGATGCATTTTCCAATTTTTGCGGATCTCCAGGATTTGATCTGTAAAGCAAATACAACATCCCGCGACGTTTGTCCCACGATCAGTGGTCGGGATACCAAAGACGACATGATACCATAACTATGCGCGACCGACTATTGCTCAGGGCAGAGGAGACAGAGGATTCGGATCGACTGGACACAGAATTGGTAAATTGACATTTATCAATTGTTTGTTATCCCGCGATTATTTCGTCGTTCGCGTGATGACGTAGCACACACAAACGCGAGAACGAGAGAGGCGATATCGTGTCGGATAAGAGGAATCGATCTCGCGGCTCTTTCGAGACAGGCAGACAGAGAGAGAGGGAGAGAGAGAGAGAGAGAGAGAGAGAGAGAGAGAGAGAGAGAGAGAGAGAGAGAAAGAGAGAGCTGACCCGTGCACGCTCAAACCGATGGATAGGGGCTGGTACCAGACTTCCCTAGACCCGAATGCGAGGGTGAGGTTGCGCGACGTTTCGTAACGATCGACGACGAGGAACGCGAATATGAAGTAGTGCAATGTGTATAAACGAGAGAGAGAAAGCAGCAGGGCCATCCCCGTGAGCACTCACCCTTGTCGAGAGTCTCTTTGGCCGCGTGTATGACCTTTCTGCGGCGGAGACCGTCGCCCGCTAAGGCGCTCGTCATCGCGTTGCCGCTGCCGAGAGTCGCGCCGGTCGTCGATGCCGCCGCGATTGCTCCGACATCATCATCGCTCGCGCACTCGTCGGCGGCGACGGTGGCGGCGGCGGCGGCGGCGGCAGCGGCGGAGGTGGCGGCGGAGACAGTGGTGGCGGCGGCGGTGGTGGCGGCAGCGGTGGTGGCGGCGGCAGACGTGCGATGGTGATGACGATCGAGGAGATTGATCGGAGACCCCTCGCCGCCTGGCATAATGTCCCGGACTGGCAGGGACCGTAAGTCCTTAGCCGGAGGACTCTTGCGCCTCAACTGGACTAACGGCTCCTCTCTCGCTGCGTCCTTCTCGCGGAGCCTCGCGTCCTCCTCACCCCCCAGCCGTCCCTCCGACCGTCCACTTCCACCACCGCGCAATTACGACGTATATCGGCTGTTGTATCCACACCCCCGCGGCCCCTCGAACATCCCCTACCGCACTTCCGGTGCGAATGTCATCCCGCCGCGACGTGGCACCATCTGTACGAGCGTGCTTCTACCCTATGCCGATCGATGACGGGGAGGGAAAGAGTAGCTTTCGTTCGACGATGAAGCGCGCGATAAAACGTGCTACTTCGGGTAGTTGTAGAGGGGAGAAGTTACTGGAACGTAACGCCATTCGCGTTTTCGCAGAGAATTTCCTACGGGCGGGAACCACGAATCGTGTGTTAAAAGATTCTAAATAAACATAAGGGATTTTAAATAACGCGTTGTATAATTTTTCTCGAAAGAACCAAGTCTCAGGATTACATAAATTTTTTACACAAATTAAGTCAAATTGAGAAAAATCGAGTCAGATCGTCAGACAATCTAACGGCAAAATCTTATTGAAAGAATCAGGACAGTTGGTGCGCCATATGCAATCCTGCAAGAGTTCGCTTAGCTTGAATTAACTGATCTTTTCTTGTAATGTATTCGCAACCATTTGAGAACAACTCGGAAGAAGTTGAACTGCTATCGAATCAAATAAAAAAAAAGTCGAGTTAAATTAACAAGCTGACGGCAAAATGTTACTGAAAAAGTCAGGACAGTTGGTTCGCCGTATGCACCTCTGAAATCTAGTTCGCTTGGCTCGAATCGAGCTGTTTCGACTGAACTTTTCTATAATGTACCTCTTCAACTAATTGAAGACAACTCAAAAGAGGTGAACCGAGGGTTCCTGTTACCTTCAACGAATAAGTCGTCCAAAACGCGCTCTTCTCGGATCGGGAAAGGCTGAGAAGGAAATTAACGGGTCTGGCTTGCGCTCTTTCGCAAATCTTTATTAAAATACTTACACGCTTAACTTACACGTATACTACACGGGGCGGTGTGTAATTAAATTAAATAGACTTAGCTCTCTATACCCGAAAGCGACACGATGCACACGCGGTTTCTATCTACGCGACACGTTCGCGCTGGCGGAACGCGAGTCGAGCCTCCGCACTTCGATCTCGCTTGGAAAGGGCGCCAGCACATACATGCTCGACGTCCTTTTTATATAAGCACGCGTCGGGACGATCGATTTGCCGCCAACGACGCGGAATCTCCTTGCCGGAAGGGGACAAGCTTTGCTTCACGGCTAATATCACGCGGTTATTTTTCCCTTAACCCTCCAACGCACTGGCGATTTCGCAGTGTGTGATATCACCTTGAACAATGCGTTATCCCCCTGCCAGCCGCGATAAAATACTCTGCTCTCTCCCTTCCTTCCTCCTCCTCCTCATAAACGAGAGTGCCCGGAGAACAAATTGATCAAACTTGTGTTTACGTGTACACACGACGTGTATTAAGCGAAAACTCGATGCGTGACTGTTTCACCATTCTGAATCGCAATTCGTCTGGTATTTCGACCGAGATGTCGATGTCTTTCACAGTGATACTTTTGTTGTCTCTGCGATAAGATACACGCCTGATTAAGGGTTGCAATTTCGGTGACTGGCGAAGTTTTCAGCTCTGAAAAATTTAATTCGCGAACACGACGGATTTCGATCGATAGGTGAAAGGACGATTAGTGTGTACGACACGGAAATCAATTTCCAGAAATTAACCTCCACTCAGCGAGATTTCGCTCGTTAGATCCATGCTCGTTCGCCTAGTCCGTTGTCCAATTTCTCCCTCGGCACTTTCGACATCGCTGTGTCGCGCGTCAATTCCGATTCCTTCTCATCTCGTGGCGTCCTCCATCTTCGGTCTCGTCATCACGCATCGACCCCTGTAGCAGATCTCCGTCATGTGGGACACTCTGGTGGTGGTCGAGGTTCTCAGGACTTTGCCCAGCATCGTTATTGTAGAATTCGCTCGATCCACGTTGTCCGCGCCAAGCGGCGTGGTCGTCTTCTCGGTGGACGTGGAGATCCTCATCGTCATGATGTCTTCGGGTGGCGTGATCGCGTTCACGGTGGCGTCCGGGGTCGGCGCAGTGCTCTCGAGGGTTGTCGCGCTCTCCTTCGTCGTCGTGTCCGTGACGGCCTGCACTTCCGGAAGACTCGTCGCGTTTTCTTCGAGGTCGACATGCTGTGTCGTGTGCGCGTCTCGCGAAGAGTCGGTGGTCGTGACGGTCCTCAAGCCGCTCTTCTCTATCGCGCTGATCTCGCGCACCAAGGCGATATTGTTGTATCTGTAGGAGTCCTCCGCGGGGCTTTCGTTCTTCGCTTCGACCACCTTCGCGATCTCCTCCTCCTCCTCCTCCTGTCCCTGGCCGTCGACACTCTTCATACTGTCGAAAATAGCCGCTACATAATCCGAGAGCGTCTTCACGCTGGTTTCGCCGTCGTTTCGCGTGATGAAACCCGGGATGGACGTGGTGGAGTGCTGTTTCAGCGCGGATTGCGATTTGTCGAAGGCCGATGGGTATCTCACTTCACTCCACTTGGCTTTATGGTTCTTGGGGTGCGCCTCGTTCTCCTCGACATTCTCCTCCGGCCTCTTCAACGTCATTATGTGCTCCTTCCCTTTGTTTCGCGCAGCCGGAAATACTGTTGTACTGTCCTCGACTTGCCTCGACGTTTCCGAGCCGACGGGGTAGTTCGAAGGCAGTTTGTATCTCTGTGTTATTATGCCGACATTCTCTAGATCATTTTGGTCAACCTTGTCTTCTTGGAAATTCTCTGCTCGATACTCTTCCGATTTTACTCCTGCTGGATCCTCGACTGCCTCTTGCGATAATTGGGAAATTTGTTCGGGGGAAAGCGATGTCACTTGAACGGATTCGTCTTTTATTTCGTCTAAACTTGCGCTCGTTGCGGTGTGCTCGTACGGATCAGGATTACTCGGTGTCACCGTCATGACAACCGCAGTGTCTTTCGTGTTCTCCTTCGGAGTTGTGGTTTCGTCGTTATTCGCAGAGTAAGTCGTCGTAATCGGCGTTGATGTCGACCAAACGGGGAAGTCAGTTGGAATGGTCGTGACGTGTGTCGGAACAGAGACTTCGTCGTTCTTCAGCACTTCCTCCAGGAAGTCCTGCAGCAAGGATTTTTGCGTCGTCGGTGCAGCGGTCGTGGTGATACTCGTGGTGACGGTCGTCGCGATCGGCTGGACAGTGGTGAATTTTGACTCGCGAATCGGATTGTACTTGTATCGGTCTTGAACCAGGCTGTTCACCGCGGAATTAAAGTGCTGCGATTCGGCGGTAACGAAATCGTCCACAGCAGGTCTCACTCGCACGCGAACTCTTCTTCTACGGGTTCCTCCCTGGAGAAGAAATTTTTCAGCTCTTATATTATTTGCTTGTAGGATCATCCTTTAGAATTAGATTCTAGCAATCTAGCTGAGGTTAACGTTGCATTTTCTTGAAGAATCTAAAATCCATTTCAGGAATATTTAGGAATCTCAAAAAAGTTTTAAACGATGAAAGTTACTTAGTTCTAACATTAGAACTATTAAAATAGTCAAAATAACTTGAAAAGTGCCTTATATTACATATTTTTTTAACTCAGTCATTTTAATCACTCTAATAGAAATAGGTCATTGATCACTCTAATAGAAATAGATCATTAATCGTCGGTAGTTTGTGTTAAGGGCAATTTTGGAATCTGAAATTCAAAATATAATCTTTCTGTTTCTGGAAACACTTTTGTTGAATTCTATTTTGTCGATTCAGCCTACAAAATTTTTGGTTCCGTCTTTAATCATTCTCGATAAAAAAGTGTAAATTACTTTAAATAACTGTACATATTTTCCTTGTTTATATTTTTATTTAAGTATGGCGTTTTACCTTTTTATTGGGAAGGGGGTCTGTGACTTTTTTCGTCGTTTGCGTGAAGTCGTCCGTTTGCTTCGCGATGTTACTTTCTTTGCTACTCAGCCAATCTCGTGTCTGCGACGACGCGTCTTCCTCTTTTTTAATCATACCCCGAAATGTCGTGATCGACGAACTCGTCACGGCCGACGTAGCGTTCAACTTCTCCGTGTGTTCCGGCACGTTCGTCTTTCTTCCAAAGACGGTATCCATGTCATCGATGTCGTCCGTGCGCTTCTGATAGTCGGATGAAACCACCATCGTCACGAAAGACAAGTCCGGCCCAGCCGTGATGATCTCGGGTGCGTTCTCATTGTTCCTATCGCCACGAGTCTTGCCACGACTTCTTTTCGCGCTGTCGGTCGCGCGATTCGAGGCAAAGCTCGGTTGAAACGACGTCTTGGACAGCTTCGTGGACCACTGGCTCTCGGCGCCGTAAATATCACCCATGGAGTGCACGTTCACGTCTTCTGTCGGATTCACGTGACTCGAGTGGCTGTACTTCTTCGACGAGGTGCTGGCCAGCTGAGTCTGATCATATTTCTCTCGTTGCGATACTTGCTCCGGCAGATTGTCGAAGTTCAGGATAAACTCTTGAGGCGGATACTACAAGTATGAAATAAATCGTATGAAATAAATTGAGTGATTTTAAACAATATCAAAATATTTTGATTTCTCTAGCCAATAATCGGTCAAGAATTTTTATTATTAATTGACTAGTTTTTAGCCAGTTTAGACGACGTTAAGGACTAGACTTCGCCAAGAACTGAACGGTAAAATTAGTTTCTAGCCAATTTCTAATCAATTATTGAACTTTTTTCCGTGCAAAATTCTGTCAAATATTTTTTTTTATCATTTGATCCTACACTATAAAATATTATATTCCATTATTCAATATAAAAATAACGTGAAATTCGTGTTAAAAGATAGTCTTTTCACGTGTAAATTCATTAATTACTGAAATGGTTATAGCTTTATATTTTTAATTATCATTCTTTTCTTGCCTAGTTCCTAGCCAGTAACTGTTCAAAAAATATTGGCCATAATTTTTTGAGTTTTTACTAGACAGCACTAAAACTGCTTAGCATTTATTAAGCATTTTTATTGTCAAGTTACTGACAAGTAACTAGCCAAAAAATACCAGCCAATATTATTTTGTGCAGTTTCTTAAAAGTTACTGTCTAATAAATTCTAGTCAGTAAAAACCAGCTTCTAGTTAATGATCAATTTTTCATAGAAATTTTTCTACTTGAAATATTTCTCTTCAATCGCGCGTATTTACTAAAAAAATGTTTACTTACGTTCTCGCTGGTCGTCTCCTCATAAAGCTGAACTGGTCGATTCTGACTCGGTACGTATTGCGACGGGATCTCGAAGTCTTCCTCAAAGAAAGTCTGCTGACCGGTCTCGGTGACTGTAGCGAGTTGTTGCGACGTAATTCGGGGATAGTTCTCGTCCAAGGGTAATTCATTGTTCGCCTCGAGCGTAGATTCCGTAGTGGTGGTGGTGGTGCGCTTCTTACTCGGTCGGCGAATTCGTCCGCGCACTCTCGTCGTCTTGGAGTCTTCCAGTCTCGCTTTTGGTTTCACCGTATACTCCGTGTTGTCCAGCATCGTTGTTTCAATAGGTATAGCTTCCGTGGTCGTACTCGTTGTCGTAGTTGCGAATGTTTTCGTGGCGGGTCGACGATTCGGAATCTGCTGATACTTCGGACGATTCTTCAGGACGTGAGTGGGACTCGACTCCACCGCCGTTTCGTCGTTCGAGATGATGTGCTGTATCTGCGGAAATAGGCGGAAAATTATTATTTTTGCGTGATATTAGGATCGAGATTTTGTTCAGTTAGCGTTATCCAGCGACCTACCTCGGACAGTGGAGGTCTGTACGTGATGGGCGCCTGGAATCTGTTGTCCGCCAAGTGTACTGGATGTACTGGATGGAAGCTGGGAGGTCTTATGAATCCGTAATCGATGTCTTCTTCCAACGGATGCACACTCGTAGTCGGGACAGTAGTTGTGGTCGGCAGTGTCGTAGTGGCGATCAACTTTTGCTGCTGCGCGCCGTGTATCTTGATGTACTCGTTGCCTTCGGTTTGCACCTGCGACCCGTGACTTTGCGGACGTGCGCGCGTCCTCGTCCTCGATCCCTCGCGTGGTCTGTGACCCGTGCCTCGACTGGAGTCGTGATTCACGGCGCTGAAACGAACATATTCATCCTGAGAACCCCGTGGTCGCGTCTGAATCGAGGACTCGTGATGACCGCGACCGCCCAGCCGACCTCGAACTCGCTGACGTATTATCACAGGCGCCGGGGTAGTTGTGCTAGTTGTAGCGATCTGTAAAGAATCGATGGTTATTGTTGGTATGAGAAGAAAACTCCTAAGTATTTTATAACAAAGTAACGCCACGTGAAAAATTACAAGTTTTTAGAGAGTCAATAAAAAAATAACGTTAGGAAAAATTATCTACATTGAAAAATCAGAAAAAAAATCAGATTTTAAGGTTGCGCAAATTTTGAAACCAATTATATAAAAATTGAGTTTCTTTCTTTAGATTTTTACATCTAAAAAACAGTCTAACATCTTAGATTTCTAGGTCTTCTTATGAAAACTTTATAGTTAGATCTTCGTTAGATTTTCGTTAATATATAGTGTATATAATAGAATATATATATATATATATATATATATATTTACTTCGACAAGTGGTGTTTGCGTAGGGGGGATATGCAGTTCATAATCTTCCTGCTTGCTGTGCTGAAGCGGGACGAAAATCGGTTGAACGTTCGGATCGGCCTTTACCACGCCACTCTCAATCTTACCGTCCTCAGATGGCAAGATCTGATCGCGGATGAGATTTTGTCCGTCGGTGTTATAATCTTGAGGCTGAGTTTGCGCCACGTTGACCTCGTAGACCGGCGAATATCGCTGCTCCTCGCCGGATCGGATTCGCGGGTCCTCCGTGCTCGCTAGATTATAGTTAGCGTCCTCCAACTTGACTTGATAACGCGGATACTCGTTGGGTCTTTGGGGAATTGCTTGGTCCGGCGATTCCTCATTCCCAACTTGATAATTGAATCCGTTCACGGGGGTCTTCTCGAGTTGCTCGAAACCACCGTGATAGTGCGTTTCCTGGGGCCGGTTTTGCGGGTAATTCTGGCTGCTGGAGTAATCGTTGGACACTAAGGCCGCGCCTTGTTGGACCGTCACTTCGCGCAATGGTGGATAGTTTTCGGTTTGCGTGGGTGTTGTTGACATATAACTCTCGCGAGTGAAATCATTCACCGCCCCGTGCGACGAGATCTCCTTCTGGAGATTGGGGGCGTGTTCGTTCGTCGGTGAATACGCGTCCGGAGATGCATTAGCTTGCAGATCGCTCTGCGAATCGCTCTGCGTCGGATAGTTCTCGTAAGTGGCCGCTTGGTGAGCCTGAATGTTCGGATTTTTGTCGTGAATCTAGACAAGTTTGCGAAATGTAAACGAATGAGTAAGCTTGATAATAAATTTTTCTTCTTTTTTCTTAATTGTTAAATTTACGAGAATTTAAGGGAAATTGTTAGTTCGAGTTATATTTGAGGCACATAATTTTAAGCCAATTTTGTTTACATATCGTTTGTAAAGTAAATGAAAGTAATTAGAATTTTATTGTACCACAGACTGAGAAGTCGTTCTGTCTCGGCTCCTGTACTTATGTGTCCTAGACGTTGGTCTCCTATATTCTGTCGTCTTATATTTCTGCGTGGTTTCTGGCATTTTCGCCTTCGTTGGTTCATAAGAGGATTCGTGATAATCCTCCGTGGTGGTCGAAAATCTCGACTTCGATCTGTTATACGGTCTGCGGGTTCTGTCCGTATTCGTTCTGCTACTAGGCGTTGTAGTCGTTCTGGCTCTCGTAGGTACGATTCTGTTCCTGTGTGCGTGATGAAACGTATTTCTTCCGATACATTAACGTCACGCTGACATTTATCATAAACTCGGGAAAATTGTTATCGATCTCCTATGAATAATACCCATCTGTATATTCGTGTCGAAGAGAAGTAAGAACTATACGTTTTCCAGCGTATGATGCCTATTATCTCAAGTATAAAATATAAAAACGGTGGATTGAATTGCAAATATGTGTGGACTACATTCACATTATTACAAAAGAAAGCATATTTAATAAAAAAGAGAATTCTCGCGTATATAATATCATTACATGATAAAAACTAGAGGAAATTAAACGTCTTGAAATAAAATAACAAAATCGTAAAGGTACCGGGAAATTACAAGATCAATTATAACGCAATCGTACTCGATTCCACTCACCTGCCTCGTGGCCTGTAAGTCGTGGAGCTCACGCGAGTAGTCGTCGTTGTTAAGGGTGTCGTAGTAGTCGTCGGTGGCGTCGATGTAACGAGAAGATTCCCCTCATGCTTGTCTAACAAGGAGTTCACCAAGCCGGGCAGGTGCGGTGATATCGGCGGTAATTCTGCCGGTAAATTATATTGCGCCGGTCCAACTGGCGCTCTAACGTCATTAACGTCATACACCTCAGCTAAGTTAGCCTGAGGACGATACTGCTCGGCGGTGTTGTATCTTTGAGGCTCCCTTTGCTGGGCGAGCTCTTGATTGATGAGCGCCAATTGAGCCGCCAAGTCTTGCTCCTTCGTGGAGGGATCGTGCGAACCTGTCGTTCTATCATTGAAATTAGGCGCGTTGGAATACGACACCTCCTGCCTGTAACTGGCTGTAGTGTCGACCTTGGGCAACTGAGTAGTCGATTTGGACTCCTGCTCGTAATATTGCTTCGTCCTCGGCTTTGTCTTCGTGGTGGACTGTTCACCGTAGTATGACGAGCTGACCACGGAAGCTGGCTTGTTGTCGTAGAACTGTCTGAATCTAAATCTCGAACCTGAAGCCGGTGTCGAATAAGTAGACTCGTACTTAGGACCGCTTGATTCCGGGCTGTAACTCTGAGTAGTTGGTGAGTCGTAAGACGCGGTGGTAGCAACAAAGCCGGCGATTTGGTCGGCCTCGCTGTAAGAGTTCGGCTCGATCAACGGTGTAGGACTGGGATTTTGTTCCGTCGGCGGTGTGACTGGCTCTGGGGATGTTTCTGACAACGTATTGACAACGACAGAGCCGATATGCGGCGCTGGGAAGGGAATCTTGGAGTAGCCAGGAGGTGGGTCGAAACTCAATGGAGCCACAAAGAAGGGTAGTTTGTCCACCTTGCGTTCGACTCGGTTATGGTCGATCGACGACAAGTAGGGAAGGTCGAACTTGGCGTAACCGTAAGGGGGATCCAAATTGGACGGGCCAACGAAGACCCGTGGAGAGTTGGGGCCGACATTGTCCAATACGTCGATGGTTTTCGCGTTTTTCAGAATTCTGAGGACGTCGGTGACCCTGACCGTATCCAACTTGGAGTTTGGACCACCCATATAAACGGAGAGAGGAGGTTGATTGGGAGAGGGTGTAGTCGTAGCCTCGGGATAATTCGGTTGTTCTTGATATTGGTTGATTCGCTGACGTTGTCTACCGCGGATCCTCTTGGGTCTCGTGCCGTCCGCTAGTTGTTGACGACGCGCTTGAGACTGGCCGTTTTCTTGCAATTGAGACAAGCTGGGGTTGGTAGGTTGTAGGTTATGCTCCTGTTGACTTTCCAGGATGCTCTGCTGCTTCAGAACTTGTTCCAAATTCAGCTGTTTTTGCCTCTCCTCGCGCTGTCTGGCTTCTTCCTCGCGACGTTTCTCTTCTTTGATACGAAGCTCGGCGAGTCGCCGTCGTTCGAGCTCTTCTTGCCTCTGCTTCTCCCTAGCCTCGCGAATTCGCTCCAATTCTCGTTGCCTCGCCATCTCCTCCAGTCTCTCCAGTTCCTTCCGCTTCTTCTCGGCTTCCTTTTGCCGCAATAGCTCTTGCTCCCTTTGAAGGGCCTCCTGCTGCAGTCGCGTTTTCCGCTCGAGTGCTTTCTGCTCCTCGTTCAATCTAGTGAACTCTTTCACACGTTCCGCTTTTAAGAATTGCGCCTTCTCCTCGTGCTCCTTCTGGATCTGCTGCAGCACCTGCCGCGCGAAAGCTTCTTGGTCGGCCGAGAGCGGAGCTTGCTCTATGCCGTCTTGATTCTCACGCTGCTGCTGATGAAGGTGATATGGCTTTCTTCCGCGACCTCTTTTCGGCTGCTGGCCCTTTTGCGCCAGCGTCTCCGCTGGAACGTACACCAGCTGCACCTGTGAAACGGTATCGCAGTCGTAAAAACTCGATACTTTTAATTTCAAACATTTTATAACGGTCGAGTTGACCAATTAGTCTAAAATGCTTTACAACGCAGGATACTATTTATCTCCTGCTTGACTTGCAGCAAACGCTACAAGCAAATTCGACTAACGAACCAGATTAATCCATTGTCTTCCGGTTTTGTTTAGTCAATGTACACATCCTTTATTCCGTGCACGTTCCAATTATTTGCAATCTAACGATAACAATACTAACATCGAAATCAACTAGTAACATTCGTTGAAAGCCACGAAGAAAGCTATTTCATTATACCAACCTCCTCTTCCTCATCTCCGGCGCCTTCGACCAGAGGATATTGCGGTAGCTCTGAGTTTTGTTGTATTTTCGGACGTTTTCCTCCGGGTCTGTAACCACCTTGTTTCGTCATATAACTATGCGGACCTTCTCGAGGATCCTCTACATTCACGTCCTCGCCATGTTGTAGCACGACTTGACCTTGAACCGGTAAACTCGATAGTTCTCGATTAGCTTCTAGATTCTGATCTAGATGACTTGGCCGATGCACGTGGCCAGGTCTGTGAGGCAGAAAGTTCTGTGCAGAATATATTGGGGGAAGCGCCTCCGAGGAGACCTGTGGCGGAACTAAAAGTTCGCCCGTCGTTTGTAAATTGCCCAATGAGCTCGGTGGTAGTTCTTGCTTCTCGTCTTCGACATTACTAAAACCGCTCGGTAGGAACGTCTGAGACTGCAAACGAAAACGAAAGCGAAGTCAATTTGTAGAACTAAACGGAACTAAACGAAAAGGTCACGCGAGAGATCCATCACGAAAGCAACGAAACTGAAATCTTTAACATTACAGAAAATATTTCTCATAGCAGTTTCCGTCTCTGTATTTACCATAATAATATTGTGAGAAGAAAGATCAGTCGAACCAGCTCGAGTCGAGTTAAACGATCTAAATGTCAGGGTTGTGTATGCACACAGAAAAATACATACTGCATTCAAGTAAATGTTATTTGTTCCAAGTATTTTATAAAATATTTTCAAAATATATTCTGAATCTCTTAGTAAGTTTAGCGTTTCAATCAAAGATATTAGATCAAAATAAAAATTCGTTTTGCTTGTTATCGAGTATATGATAATAAGCTTTTCTAAAATTTGTGGCAAGTATTAACAAGAAAATATATTTTGTTGAAGATGACTATTACTCAAAAGAAGGAAAGCAAATTAAGTAATCGTTTTTGTTTTAGCAGCAGACTAATATCTTTCTGTATATGGCGAATTAACTCTAATTCTTTTTTAGCAATGTTTGGATGTCCTTCTAATATTTTACTTGCATAAGATTAATTGCTCGATATCCGAGGCAAATCAATCTCTCAGACGAGTGTTTTACCTGAAGGATTTGTTGCTGAGCCTTGAGCTGTTGCTGCAGCAGCAGCAGCTTCTGGATGCTTTCCTGCGTTTTCTGCAACTGTATCAACTGGTCCTGATACTGTTGCTGAAGAGCAGGCGGTAACGCGAGCGATTGGATCGGATTTGGTAAGTGCGTGCCGCTAGGCAGCAGGCCACTTCCGGTGTTGCTCTGCGGCACCTGACCGGAAGCGGCCCTCGGGTTCGCCAGCGGTATCCACTCGCTGTTGGATACTTGTCGTGACCACCGTTCTGCCGCGTTTCCATCGAATTCGCCTAACAACGTCAACACGACGAGTACCGTAGTCGGTGTGAAGCACCTCCGCACAATCTAAAAGCAACAATATTGATTAATCGATCGCGGGCCGTCAAGTGGAATGATAACAACACGCGTGCGCTATGTATATTTAAGATCGCTTCGCAGAACGCGCGATATATTCTTTCGTGCGTCGGGGAACAGGATGAAAAATGCACTCAAGGACAGGAAACAAAATGGGGCGATGCTTCGTGCGAGAACCAATAAGAAAACAACCGCAATCTCTCGCCACGTCTATGGCGCGACGGGAATAAGCGTGCCACGAGTGTTTGTTGTAGACCATCGCGAGTCTAGTCTTACAGCTTTTAATGGAATCTGTGGTTTTTCGCTAGGATAAACCCGCGACGCTATTATTTCCCCTACTTCCGATAGCAATAACGTTATTGCCGCGAATTGCTCGTCGATTTTTCTTTAAATCTGCCTGCACAGGCTGCGGAGGGACGAAGATATTCGAACAGATCGTTTCCTTATAGCGCGGCGAGTTATCATTTTGCTATTTCTGTGAGCACTCTGAAATATTTGCAGGCAGTGTCGATGACATGGCGCTCCGGTGAATGTAGTCGGCCTTCCAGTCGCCAGCACGGAAAATGTAGACACGCGATTACTCGCAATTCTTCGATCCATTTCACATTCGCGATTGTATCGATAAGAGCGCGAAAATGTCGTAATGCATTTCAGCTCGTATATTTTCATCGAAATCTCCACAAAAACAATAAAGAGATTGTCTTGCTTAAGACTTTCCGCAATAATTTTTTATGATTATAAAGGACATAGGCAAAAAAATAATCTTATCTTTAGTAAGATCTTATACTCTTGCGTAGCCTCACAAAGAAGAGATTCTCCTAAAATCAAAAGAAACGTTTTAACAAAGTAAAATTCTTTTTCTTAGGTATTGAAATATATATTTTGATTTTAGAAGAATCTTCTTAAGAATCCTCTTACTGAATAAACTTTATATTCCATAAATAGATTTTTAAATCTTTTTTCTCATTGTACACCGAGAAAAAATTTGAAAATTTATTTGTAGAATTAAAGCTTATATCTGCGAAATAAAGTTTATGTCTATGAGATAAAGTTTATTTCTACAAAATAAATTTATTTCTGTGCTTTATATCCCATAAATATAAGTTTTCAATTATTTTTTTCTCAGTGTAATTGCACGGTACTATTTTCTAAGCAAAAACTTTTAAGCGAAAACCGGAAGGATATTTCTCTTCTTATGAAAAGGAATAATATTGTGCTTGGAATATTTTCCTTTCAGTCTTAGAATAATCCTCTATAAATCACATGTAAGAGGATTCCAAGGCTAGATGTTACATAGGGTTTTGGAAAATGTAGAAAATCGGAGATTCACGAACTATATATTTTATTTAATAATTCGAAACTTCCTCTTTAGAATTGAATTTCATATTTGATCTAAAGTCAGATCCCGGGTTGCTCACGTGGACGCGCTATGTATAATCAATCGATTTCACATAAAAAACATTTTTTTATCGTGTAGAGTAGAGCGCGGACGGAGAAACGAGAGTGACGAGAATTTCCTACAGTAGCATGAAGGAATTAACGATGCTCTTTCCATCGTGATTACAGCCTGGTATTACTATCATCGTTATCGTTACAATTATCAACGTCCGGCATCGTCATAACATGCCTCGTCCACGAGACGGAGAATTTCTGGAGTGAAACCGCATCTAACGAACTGTGAATCGTATCAAATGGTATACCGCGATTTCTAATAAAGGGAATGGGCTCCACTCGAACTCTCAATGCGACGATATACGAATACGTAATCTATAAACTATTATTATGCGATTGTAATGATCTGCTGCTTACGTAATTACATTCACCGTCTCTCTCCAGGGAAGCTATTTTAAAGTGAACGCATTCCGATATTATCCTACATTACTGTCAATTCACAGCTGCGATTAACAGCCGCGCCATGAAATCATCGACGACGAACGCAAGGAACTCGCGACTTCCTAGATCACAATTCGCGACTTTTGAACGCGCCGAGCGGACTCGCGTGCCACTGACACGATTTTTGGTTATAGCTGCATACGTGAGAACACGTACATGCAATTTTCATTACGGAAGATCGCGTGTCGGACACGGCGCACGATTTTTCTGCTTTCTTCGTGATTCTTGCCAGGCGCGCATTCCGGCCAAATGTTTTAGAAACGGATCCATCGACTGTAAAATCACGGCGTGATCCTACCAGAGATTCCTTGTATCAGAGAAAAGAAATCCGAAGGAGGGGGACTCTCGAATGGAAACAGTTCACTTCGAGGATTTTGCCTTTAATTTCGGAATGCTATATTTTTTTGTTTTTCTTTTTCGAACTTAATATTCGGAACTAAGGCGGCTCGTTACTTCTTCTCTAGACACGGTGGCCAAATGCATGGGAAAAGGAAATTAGAGAGAGAATTCTCAGGGAGTATTATTTCATTGTGCGAATAGGCGACCCACACTCAGCTCTCTTCTCGGTTACATAACACTTATACGCTAATAAAATAGATAGTCGTTGAAGAAGACATAGAAATCACGAGGAACTCTATACAAGTCAGGCTCTATGCAAGTGAGGTGAAGTCAGATAAGGTGAGGTCAAGTAAGGTTAGATCGTATCCACTTACATATTTATCATATCATCATATCCACTTACGTATTTGTATTGAAATCGACTTGGGTAGAAATTTTGATGTTAAATCTTTGATATGTTTGTGTGCCAACTTAACATAGTGTCGTCGTGTTATTTTTGCAATAAATATTCTACATTGAGTTTGCGTTTATCATTTCTAAGTTCTAAAATAATACAGTTTGTATCTAATATGTAAATCGTGTTATTGTAGAACTTAATGGTCACATTCTCGGTGACATATTTTATCTGCAAAGTGTACAGATCAGTTGTGTTATTTATTAACACATTTGTTTTGAATATTAACACAAAGATTACCACAAAGATTAACACAAAGAGCGGACAAAGTGGAATCTGTGAGATGTGTCAAGTTCAACACAAAATGTTTTGCCGTGTCCTAATGGTCCTGATCAGCCTCTCAGTTCTGTCTTTGCTATCTATATCCATATAACAATGTCTCCATACTCGATTCCGCTTTCGGTCGTTGCCGATGATTTCCCACGTGCTGCGGTTGCGGTTGTACGATCGGGACAATCTGATCGCCGTGCGTTCGTCGCGTCTACGAAAGAAATGACTTTCTCTTCGCGGGAGGAACGCATAAAGTATCAGGCGATATTTCGCTCGGTCTCGTTGAGCCCCGCTCATAACACCACGCGGCCAATTCCACCAGTAACACGTGCAATTATCAATCGTTCGCGCATGGCGTCCAGGACGGTGTGAAAAAGGAGGTCGCATGAGCACCTTTCTCTCGAGGAAGCGAGGAAGCAAACCGGAGCCGCTGGTAAAGGCGCGGTCTCGTTGGCGTTATTCTCTACGTCCCGCGCGGCAAAACCTATATTTTGGATGCGCTCCGACTCATTCGACCCCGTGGCGAAATGTTAACCCATTAAGCATTGAATTACAGTCCCCTCGCGAATCCAATTTGTGGTGTACTTGCGCGTCTGTACGATGAGACGGGGACATCGTGCAAGGGAGATCTTCAAATTTAAAATCTGTCAATGATAGGCAAGCGATCATGAGAAAACGTGCAAACATTATCAAAAAATTTGGAAGTTTTTAATCAAAATCAGGAGGTTCTAATCAAGATTATTGAGACGTTTATGATAACCTAAATTGATCCAACATGATTTCATCTAAGCTGACTTAACGCGACTTAACCAATCGCTAAAAAATTTGGAGCACTGAATAATCAAAAGCAAAGGATTGATCAGTGGAACGTTTATGAAAATCTAATCTGACTTGAACTAATTTGACTTGACTCAACCTAAGCTGACTTAACGCAACCTAACTTAACCAACCACTGAAAATTTTGGGAAATTCAAGTGATTAAAAGCAAAAGATTGATCAAGACCATTTGGACGTTTATGATAACCTAGTTTGTACTGATCAAACATGACTTCATCTGAGCTGACTTAACCTAATACAATCTAACCAACTACTAGAGAAACTCTAGTATGTAATGAAGTGGATTTTACATTACTCTGTACAAATAGTTATTTCTATTCAAATATTATTCGGACCTGGAAGCAACATATGGTAACTTATACTCGAATGTGCGTAATCCGATCGAAGTACCGTATGCAAAAATGTCATGTCCGCGGCCTTCGGAATTTCACGCTCCACTTACGCGTTTGCACTATCCTGCAGTCGCTCGCTCGCTCGTTCGCTCGCTTTCGTTTCTTAGATTTCGAGAGGGTGTCGGTCGCCTCGAATAGAAAAGCACTGGCGAACGATACGAGTTTCGATCGAGTTTCTTCTGAATAGCCTCTACACGCGAACTCGCAGAAACAGTGGCGTATTTCGAGCGATAGCATCTCCGACTGTGAGTCGTGACTTACTGGAAAACGTTTGCAATTATGCTCTGTGCTTAATTGTCGCGTGAGAAAAATATTATCGATCAATTAACTTTGAGTGCAACATCGTTTACAATTAAGTGAAACTACACAACAGTACAGCTCGATAAAAGCATCTTTCACTTTATACCGTGCAATTACACCGTGCTGGTCTATTTCCAAAAGACCTTCTTAATTGAAATGGCTCGATCATAGAACTGAGAACAGGATAAATTTTGCTGAGGAATCGATATGGCCTAATTTTATGCTCGATATTTCAATATTGGAATTAATAACGTGAAGTTTGTCATATTTGTTCAATGAAACAGAACATGAAATCATCCAATTTCGGAGGATCAATAATTTTAGCAAATATGAACATCAGTTCGATATTTTTTTAGACACCCAACGGAGACTTTCTATTTTTCTTTTATTTTTCTTTTAGTACTCAAACTCCCTACGAAAATTTAATGAAAAAATGACAGATCTTTTGCGCCGACCTATATTTCTTGTTTAAAAATTACCCAAAGAGCTCGCCATTATGCGCTAACGCAAAACACTAAGCACGCATTGTCGGTTACTTGCGTTCGCGTTCGCATTGGACGAACCTTTCGACGAGAACTCTACATTTCTTACGTCAGAGATAAATATATGAAATTATCTTCGCGACTGTTCGCATAAAACGCGAGCGATTGTTCAACCGTAGAAAATGGAATACCCGGATATCCTCAGTATCGGTTTTCCCAATGAAAACAATCGCTCTTGTCGCTTATTGTGCGTTGTCTCGCATACATTGCGGATCTCCATCGGATAAAACCGCCGTAGCTGTTGTGCACGATGCAGCGAAAGAACAATAGCGCGTAGAAATTGTAATGAGACTCAACAATGTCACGACTCGAATACACATGTCCATGGAGTGAAGTACACGTCACTAGTAGGTGGCACTTTTTAAATAATTTCAATCAAGCAATCCGATTTATTCTCTCGACAAAACTTTCATTCAAAATAATCTATTCATCAGAATTTAAATCAGAAACACAGGAGTTTCCAGCGATATTTCAATTCAACGACATTTCAAACGATTTAAAATGTATTTTTCTTTTTATTCTTATATTTCTATTTTTTATTCTTCATTAACGGGATAGTAAATCTTTTGGTGTTACAAAAAGTTCAAAAACCAGATTCCAAAGTAAAAAGGAATCCAAAGTGAACAGTGCAAATATGGAAAAATAGTGTTTGATATTTGTAACTATGTGACTATGCATAATGAAATCATTTCTGTGTGTGTGTCGTTTTTCTAATAAGTGCAGTATCAATGATGAATAACTTTGTATGCGTATTGTTACCACTGCGCTTTGTTAGTTGCCTCGAGAACGACTGTAACTGCAGCGAAACGAACGTAAAAATTGAATTCCGGCTTGAATAGCCGAGCCATCGAATGGTCAGGTGTGTGCGCAGTGGCAGTTTATTAGTTGACGTCCCTTGTCACCGGAAGATCATCGACAGGTTTCACATACTCGATCCAGTCGGGTGGTTAACGCGCCTCATCGGCGTGCCACTTCTCGTCGCTAACTTTCTTCGTGGTGCTCCACCTTTACTTTCGCCTTCGAACTTTTTGGTTCCCACCTGAGGCCGTCACGCCGAGACTGGCTTCAACAGTGGTTCTCCGACTTTAGATTTGACTCGAAATGAGTCGTTCCCGAGTAAAAGGAAATATAAACATTAGGGAGACTCTCAGCCAGGGCTCAACAAACTTGAAAGCATGCGAGCAACGTTAACGGGATTACGATGCGATACGATGCGTGACTCGCACACCACGAAGTTCCTACCTGTGAAGAAGAAATATCTCTATCTGTTTGCACGTGAATACAGACGCGTAATCGCTGAGAAAAAATCTTGCAAAAATTATCATAATTTTCGGCGCAACCGTGTGTGATGTATTTTCTAACAAGATGCAGCAGTGACGTTACTTATACAAAGTTGTTACTTTTAGTACTATAATTTAGCACTTATTAGACTGCGAAAAAAGATATTTGAAAAAAGATATTTCAATTTGCAATCAAGAAATAAAAAATATTTCTTGATACTAATAATATAATTATCTATATCAATATAAAATACGTTTCAAATAAGAGAATATACATTTTGTTGAAACCTCAACTCTCCATTGCAAATTGGAAAGCAATTGTTCATTCTATTTGAGTGAAAGAATTCAGATTTAAGTAAACATATGTTCTCAGTACTTACCAAATAAATATCTTTTAACACATATAGATATTTGTTCTCTCAGTATGCAGAAATAGTTTTCCTACTTGTAATGATTTCGCTATGGATATCACGAATATCAAATTATATTCTTCCTAATGATGCTGAATATTGATTCTTGATTCCTTTGTATTCGGCTTGTTTCAATATTACATCGGAGAAAATAGAGAGGGAGTATTTCTGCACAAGCGACAGAATAGATTGCCCCTATTTGCATCGGATAAATTTCACTGGGTGCGTTATCGTCGCTCTCGATGCGCGCCGTGCGAGCACGCGGACAATGACATCGCGTGTCGTTACGAAATCGTTATCCTTGAGTGGAATGCACCTGAACGACGGTGATTCAGGATGCGATCGTAAGATCCGCGCGGCGGCAAACAATCGCGGAATTAGTCGCTATTGTGCGCGCCGTTCGCACGCCGTGTGTGCGCGAGCTGAAATCAAGATTTTACGATTTGCGGTCGTAACATGACAGATAAGAAAGAGAGAAGAAATGTTTAACGCCACCACAAACTAATCATTTGCGGTGCCAACCATATTTCTCGTTGCTTCGACAAAACAGTTGGTCCCGGAGAAGTTTTCTAAAGGCAGTCTTTAACGAAAAGTTTGCTCTCAACAGACATGTATATTTTCTGGTATTTTATTATTGTTATATAAGAACTTAATATACCGAGTGCACACGCTTTCCTCAAGACGATCTCTTCCTTTATTCGCGAATCACGTGCATTGGATTATCAACAGCGTGACGCACAAGTACGTCACGGTAAAGTGTAATTAGAGATCGTAAAATTTTCCTCATTTCGCCCACGAGAGCGTCACGCGATGAGAGTATCAAGTAAGCCGCAGGCAAGAATTCCTTTCTTTCTTTTCTCGCGAGTTACGTGCCACTTAGCTCGGATTTTCGTCGGAGGAACTTCCGCCTACGGCTGACCTTCCGACTCAAGAGAGAGTCCTCTTTCTTTTCGCGGGCTTTGTCACACTGGCGTTTAAAGCGAGTGGGACGAGTGATCGAGCAAGATCGAATTCGAATTCGACCATAGACTACTGTGTCTGAAACCCAACCGGGGGAAAGGAACGGTCAAATCCGCCTTCGCCCGGGCTTTCGACTGCGCCTTTCGCCAAGAATTCAATAATAGGCAAAAGTTGTAGATTTATTCGCCGGCGCCCAACGGGGAGGAAATGCGGTCAGTGTGTGAACAGCTCCTCGTTCCTTCCTTACTTATGTCGCGACTGTCGAGAGGTCGCCGACCGTCTCTCCTTCTTGAACGTCTTTAAATCGGGCACGGTTTAGCATAATGGGCGCTCGCTTCATGTCCAGTTCGCTTGGAAACTCACTCGTTAAAATCTGATGAAACTTTCAGGTACATCCTTGCGACGCGGTTATATGCGATTTTACCGGTGCATACTTCACGATGCCATTCTTCGGTGAAATTCGCGATTGAGCATAAGAACTTCGACAGGGATTAAACAGTCACGATGAACGCTGCACTGAGAGAAAAGAAATTGATTTGTTGATCTCTCATGAAATCTCTAGTCAGTCTTGGAGCTGACTAAATGCTTTTATTGTTCTAATAAGAAACAAAAATAGCTGTAGTGACTGAGAAGAAATATTGGAAATTCATTTGTGGGATATAAGTTCCTCTCTGTGAAATAAAGTCCATTTCTGCGAATGAACTTTATATTCCACAGATAAATTTTTTCCAAATATTTTTTTTTCAATGCATATAATATTGTTATTGACATTACAGTAACGTTTATTATAAAGATAGTTCTACTGACTGTAATTATTTGAACATACGATTATAGTTACAAGTATCGAACGTTTTCTTCTCTCAGTGCGCGTGCGATGAGAAAATCGGGAAAATACACGGAAAAAGTTACTTCGGCTTCAGCGTACACCGAGCGAAACGTTTGATTAACGTTATCCTAAGCGAAATGTTTTATGAGACACGCATATGGAAAGATGTCTCGGGGGCGCAAACTATCGCGCGCTGTTGAATGCATATCGAGTGATATTTCCTAAGCTGTAATCGTAAATTATGCGCTGTGAAATTTTACAGCTTTAACATAAAGAGGGTATGAGTTAGAAAGCGTAGTAATACGAAAGACACATCGACACACTGGTCTATTTTACAATAATCTCGTCGCTCGAGATATAATCGTCCGTGTTTTTTTGAACGTTCAAGGTCGCTTTCGTGTACCGAAAGAAATTTTGTGCGGATTCGTCAAGATCGATAAGTAGCGCGTCGTTGAATATGTTTGTGGAACTGTAACTCAAGTTGCCACAGTTCAAAAGTAAGATATTAAAGTCTTGTTTTCGTTTAAGCTTCTCCTCGAGAGAGAATGATGAAATCGTTTGAGGAAAGAACGTGCGCGACTCTAGATAAGACCGTTTGCATTGTTTGTTTCTCTGATATCGAAGTTTGTTTAAATCATTTAGATTGAATAAACGAGTAACAAAGGACGCTAATTAGTGCATTGTGTATGCAACATATGCATTTATCATAAGCGACAACAATAGAGCGCAGCCGGGACTCTTTGCAGTTGTGCATTTCGTTTCTTAACGAGGCCGTGCTTCAACACGAAACTTTCTACCGTTAGTTGTATACACGTTTTGTTAATGGACAGCGGGGAATGAACGAGCCTTACACGCAAATTCATGCGGCATGCGATTTCTTCCTGTCGATTTCCCGTACGAAATGGCGCAGTCGTTTGTATGTGAATTCAATGAGCATCAAAGTGCTTCTTTCTTTCTACTTCGGTGAAATAAAAAGAAATTACTGACGCGTTTAGTCTGTTTTGTCTTGTGGGTCAGAAAATATTACACTATTACGATCGTTGCTTTAAATTAAATTATTGTCAAATTCTCTTTATTATGTATTTCACAGTTATTTAAAAATTTCCTCCGCTTCTAGATACTAAAATCGCCAAATTATTACCCACCAACTTTGAAATTATTTTGCCAAGATAGAGCAAGTAATAGAGAAGCACAGTAAAAATAATCGTTCCAGTTATTTAAATATCTTATCATTTGTGATTAGCAAACAATATAAAACGGCGTGTAATTTATAGAATCTTGATGAATTCGCGACAAGGGCCTCGAGCAAACTTTACTTTTACACCCGGCCTATCACAATCCCACAATTACAACTACGAACTCACCATTGCGCAGGGTGGTTGTGCCTTCACCGGGTCACCGCAGCACCACCAAGTCGACCTACCCGTCCTGCTTCTCGGTCTCTATCTCTCCTCTGTCTGTCCGCCCTTCCTCCCTCTTCTTCTATTTTCGTCTTTTTTCGACACCCTACGACGATACTGCTCCGTTTTACCGATCGCGTACGTTGCACTCGTTCACATCGCACCACTGGCACATGTCCTTCCGCCGTAGTCGTATTTTTTAATCGGAGAGAATCGCGACTCTCCGTTTTCGTAACTGTGGTCGATCGGCTCGCACCGGCGGAAACGTCAACGTGTGCGGTGAGGCGCGCGGCGTTTCGTTGACAATACACGGTTGACGGTACACGTGCGGTCTTAGGAACACAAGCGGTTTGAAGGGGCTCTCCCAGAATGGACAGGCTATATAGATATCCCCTCCAGAGGATGACGAAGAGAGCTCGGGCTGGCCGGAGCCTGGGTACCGCGGCGGCGAACCGTGATCCAGGAGAAAGCCTCTCCTTCGATCGGTCCCATGGTGTCGATGTACACCAGGCGGCCAGTCATATAGTATGCCTTAACATTTGTTTGCTAGGGCTTCGTGTGACTTTCGACTTTGCTTGTACACGCGTGGAGTTGAAAATTGTACAGTAACTACCATAAAGAAAAATCAGACAGAAACGACCAGGTCTCAGGGTTGCGCAAATTTTGTTGCACCGCAATCATGATTGAATCAAATTGTCTTTTTTAAATTTGCTAGGATTTCGTGTAACTTTCGATCTTACTCGTATATGTGTTGGATTGGAAATCATACGATAACCACCCTGAGGAAAAATCAGGCAGAAAGAACCAGGTCTCAGGATGGTTGCACCGTAATTGTGATTGAGCCAAATTATTATTTTCAAATTTGCTAAAGAGGATTTCATGCAACTTCAGACCTTACGTGTACATATGTGGGGTTGGAAATCGCACAAGTGGCCTAAAAAGAAATTGGCTAAGAACCAAATTTCAATGTTGCGCAAATTTTGTCGCACCGCAGTTACGGTCGAGACAAATTGAGGAAAAGAACTTTTCTTAATTTAAGGAAAAGAACTTTTCTTACAACGCATATATAATATTCTATCGCGACTTCTCTACATTCGTTGCTCCGTTCGCTTCGATCGACACGTTACACTAGCGATGTTCGGCGCGCTCGACGCGCTTCGGGTTTCAAACGCGACACGTTGTCACCGGATCGCAACACGGGCAAGAATTAGAGCGACGCGTGTCGCGCAACACGATCGGAAAATAATTGATCTTAGGTAGTTATCGTGGAACTATTTGCGCGAGTCCGACCTGAAACACGAGTTTCCGAAGTCGAAATTTCTACGTCGATTACTGATCTGACTCAATTCTGCACTCAACCGCAGAATCCAAAATCTCTCAAGAAAAATCGCGTGCCGAAATTAAATAAAAACCTTCGAAATTTGGTTCTCTCTATATGATTCTTTCGATTGTAAGTCCCGAGATTACACGGGCAAATTACACAACGTGACGAATTACGCTCAGCATTCCGAATGACGAATCCGTCGCGCATGATAGTCCGAGATTAGTTCTTGCAGAAAATGCGGCCCGCATCGGGGCTGGCGCGGGAATTGGCGGTGCTGTTGGCTTAGCGAGCGAGAGAAGTGAGAGGCCGCTCAGAGGTGTGTGCGCGCGTGTTACCCGTTGCTTATGCAACTTCTGATAGGGATCGCGGGTCGGTCAGTTCGTCGACTTTTACGGAAATATGCGCCGCCACGATATCTTCTCGTCCGCAGGAAGGAACGAACGAGCGAACGAAAGGGGCTGTATGGCGCGCCGGGATTAGGAAATGCGGATCCAGGCCGCCCGTGCCTGGAACGTATCGCTGTCTTTCGCGTCTCTCGCGTTGTGACGCAGCCACGGCTTCAGGATGTTGCATCCGACGATATTTCGCCGCTTCTAAATGGAAGCCGGCCTGGCGGAGGAAATACCGCCTGACTCCGCGGAACTTTCGCAATTCCCCGCAAGCATCGATTTCCCGGTGCCTGGCAACTTCGAACTGTCCCGTTCAAGCTCGTCTTCGCGAGAACACAATTGGGGATTCAACCGCCATGTCATTATTTTATCGCCGGGCTTGTCTGTCTGCGATTGTTACTCCGGACTCGACGTTAATAACTGTAGATTTATCAGCACCTCGCGTGTCATCAGAATCGTCGAGTCGTTGCGAGTGATAAGGAATTCGCCTCATTGATCGTCTTCATAGTACGATGAAAAGACACGGTATTCCGGGGCGAGGGGAGAGAGCATCGGTGTCCTTCGTTCTAATGTCTGTGTTACGCGAAATCAGGACGAGGTGGATTGTGGAAGAGGACGCGATTCCGCGAAAAGACGAGGCGAATCGTCGAATTCAATGCCCGGATACACGGGGTGCTGCTGATGATTGCACCTCTTCAGCATTCGCACGGCCCCACGGCCGTTGGATACATTTTTCGATGTCCCGCGTAGAACAATCGGAAATACAATGGCTGCGGTGTAAGGAGCTACCTTCATAATCTGACGAGTAGATTTTCATTAGGTGTTTTACGAGATGCATGAAGAAAACAGCAATTCCGTCGGTGTAATCGGATTGTCCATTGCCCGGTAAGGATGGAGACCAGATGAAGAACTCGGTCGTAGAGACAGAGAAATCCATACAGAAGGTTTCTATTCTCAGTCAATTGTTCTTAGTTATCTCAGCCGAGTTTCAATACAGAATGTTCATAGACAAATGTTACCGGCTTGCAGTGTGTAACAGAGATGTTAGGATTCCTCTAATCAAAGTTAGGACAAAGCATGATGATTCCTGATTAGTCCTGTTCGCCATTTTTAGGAATGACGGGAGTGGCAGAGAAACTTCAGGCAGGAGCTCTAAAACTGAAATTATGAATAAGCACGCTGTCACTCACTCAATTCCTCCCTACAAATTGGAGGCAATGTCTTAACTCTGACTTGGAGAACTCTAAAGAACATCATTTCACATCGGCAAATTTTCATCTGGTCTAATGCAAATTTTCCCTGTCTAACTGTATAAACTGAGATTTTTTTCCATATAGAAAATAATTTTTTCCATATCTCAAAAGAATAGTATCGTTTATTGCATAGTCGTTGTTGCACGCGATTTTGGGCTACGAACCGACTGGAGAAAACATAAAATCAAACATAAGATCTTTCCGCTGTAGAAAGTATTCATATTGGTGAAGAATGTTAGCTGTGAAAGTAAAACTGGTAGTCAGTTAATGAGTTGTTTATGTCGTGTCTCTTATTACCAGAAAAAAGTCGAAAAAAAATCAAGGAAGGATCAACGTTCAATAATTATACATTAGTCGATATAATATATCCGCGCACAGATATTACAATTATTCTCTTTTATATATTCCATATCGTTTTTATAATTCCTAATCGTCAAATTTTTCATCTTACACTCAATTATGATTGATAATATAAATATTTCTGTTGCGTCGCAAGCAACGATCAAGCTGTTTGAACAAAGCTGGCAAAGATAATAGCTAGCAACTCAAGATAGCATGAAGCATACGAGTTGCATATTGCAGCCGCCGTATACACACTTCCACACCTCCACTTTGGTATCTTTTCCTTTCACTGTGGCGATTTGCAAAAATAAACTTCGGTCTGCGCGAGAGACTCGCGCCGCGCGCGTATTCGTCATAGGCTTTTTCGCGAAGGACACGGTATTACGTGAATTTCTCTCGGGCGGGGGGAATCGTCAGGAAAAGCGAGATCGCCGTCACGAGCGGGGCTAATTGACGGGGGGAACAATGGGGGTTTTATTCCCGTCGCGTCGTCGTCTCGTACCTTTGGAGTATCGCCGCGAGAGAAAGCGACCCGCCCGTAAAGTAAAATGCATTCCTATCTCATGGCCGGTCTCCTCATCTCTGTGTAATTATCTTAATAATCCGCCGCGCGTATCACCGTCCCTTCCAATCGTGCCCGCAAGCGTCCTTTCCCCTCGTCCGGCCTTTCGTCGCAACGACTGATTGTTCTGGCGGCTCAATTCGCGATGATTTGATTGCGTTCGTCTCTCATTGCGCAAATCACGCCGACAGCTCCCAAGGACGAGCACTAACGACCGCGAACGCCGAAAATCAGAATGCTTTTCCGTGGAACGGGAAGAAAAGTCTCGTCATCAAACGACATTATCGAATCGCGGGAGCGTGACGTCGTTAAATCGTTCCGGTCAAAGCCGGCCACGTTTTATCCGTGCACGCTCCGCGAATAATTAGACGCGAATTATTAATTTCGCACGCATTGAATGTACGGGCGAGACATCGGCAATGAGAAATGTCACCGCGCACCGTGAACAGGGCCAAGTGTGTAAAGACACGCGATTAATACACGTGGCAGGATGAAATAATCGCGCGAGTGTTAAATAAGGAACGTAGACGAATAAGTGGGATTAAGGCCCGATCTACAATAGATGGAGTAAGGAGTAGGAGTAAGACGAAGTGGAAATAATTTATTTCGCTTACTCCCTTAATAAAAGTTTGCCCATCTACATCACATGCACTGTTAAATATTGGAGAGTCAAATTTAAACCAATTTCTTAAGTTGAGTAATATTTAGTTATTTTTAACTATCATGTGTGTCAAAATTTACTATTTTAACACATGTGTTTAAAAAAACAACCACATCTAATCAACCCATTTAAAACAATATTAAATCATTTTTTACTAAAACAAAGATTACATTAACGTGCACATAATAAAAAATAAACTAAATTTTAGTCAAATTTAATACATTTCTTAAGTTAAATTATTTAACTCCATTACATTAGTTAACTTAACGACATATTTAGTAGGAGCAGTGGCGACTTATAGGATTGGTTAAAAATAACTCAAATTGAGTATAATTTGACACTACGGATTTAACAGTGTGGAGTAAGCCTGAATTAAGTAGTAAGAGCTGGAGTAAGCGAAATAAATTATTTCCATTTCGTCTTATTTCTACTCCTTACTCCATCTATTGTAGATCGGGCCTAATGGTTAAGTGCGCTGGAAAAAAGATTTGGTTGAAATAACCAAATATCTGGTCGAATATGAACGATCCAGAAATTCCGATTGAAGTAACCCGGATTCTCTTCAAGTTAATAAGATTTTTGGTTGACTTAAACAGAATTCGGGTTACTTCAATCGGAATTTCTGGATCGTTCATATTCGACCAGATATTTGGTTAATTCAACCAAATCTTTTTTCCAGTGCACTTAACCATTAGACCCGATCTACAATAGATGGAGTAAGGAGTAGGAGTAGGAGTAAGACGAAATGGAAATAATTTATTTCGCTTACTCCCTTACTCCAGCTCCTTATTCCAGCTCTTTAACTC